CCTCCTTGGGTTAAGGAGGTCCCGGAGCTCGAGGCAGGCGAGCTGATAGCTCCTGGGACCAAAAACAAAATTCGTTCTCCGCTGCCAGAAGGGACTTCTTACGTCCAAGTAGTCCGGGCCGTAGTCTGGCAGCGGGTCTGCTGAGTCCCTTGGTCGCGTCATTCTGTCAGGGTTGAGGGTGGAAGGCAGGACTCAAACGCAGACTTTTCCAAAACAAAAGACTTTAATAATCAAAAGGTCCAAAATCCAAAAGGCCAAGGGGCAAAAACACACAAGCATGAACCTACGGGGGCGAAAGACAAGAACAGGACATGCGTGGCAAAAGACAATGACGCGACAAGTGACACAGGAGACACACGGCTTAAATACACAAGGGAGGTGCAGGTGATTGGACACAGGTGGAAACTATTAAGACGATCACAGGGGATGACGGGACAAGGCAGGAAGTGAAGTTACCCGGGGACACAAGTGGCAGAAAACTACAAAATATAACATGAAGTAAACCACACCGTGACAGCAGAAGGTCTGTAGGCCGTGTGTACTACACTATTTAGTAGTGTACATTTGATATAGACATGTGCTTATGTGGTTTTATTGTAGGTGTAGAGCTAAACTAACAACACATATTTGTGTAATCCATATTGTGTGTGTGTGTGTGTATGCGTGTGTAAGATTTTGAAACGGGCTATTGGTCCGTGGGTGTGTTGCACTAATTAGTGCAGACGGATGAGGGAGAGTGTGAGTGTGAGTTGTGAGACTAATCTTCACACTGCAGATACCACACACAAAATATGCTCTTTGAAGACAGCTGAAATGAGCTAAGGGTATACATATATATAATACATATACATATAATATATATATATATATATATATATATATATATATTATATGTGTTTTTTCTTCTGAAAATGAAATGAAAAAAATTATTTTGAGTCATGTCGTCACGCAGTGAAGAAAGGCCTCGCTGGTCAGCCGATGAATGAAGCCAGTATGGATACAAGCGTTTTTCTGAGCCAAACTCTCCGTTGTGGGGTCTTCAGCAGTGGGGTCTCTCTGCGGGCATGACTTTTGATTGAATATTAACCTATTTATTTGATTTATAAGCAAGTTCGAGGGGTTGCGAGCATATGCAAGTAAAGCAATGTGAAAAAAATGAAATCAAGGTCAACTGGGGGGCTACATTGTGAGTAGTTAACGGCTTGTTGACATGTAGGTATGAAAGACATTTTATTGTTCCAATGTAGTTCTGTAAGCGGCAAAAGAGCTGAAAAAATTCTCCACACCCAACGAAAGAACCCTATATCGCACTTTGCTACATGCTCTGCACGCTCAGCACTCCTTCACTCAGAGAGAGAGACACAGAGGGCCTCATGTACTAACGCTACCGCGGATTTGTTTTGCAATGTGCGCGTTAAGGCATGGCGAAGTATGTACAAACAAGGCGCACCGAGGTGAAATCGCAGACTGCCTGAGCGACTAATTATGTATTTCGCCCGTGAAAGCGCGCCTCCGTTTTGCGGTGAAATATTCTCCGCCTCCTTTAAAGCAGGTGTAAACCAGAATGCGGGTTTCCTCGCATATGCCTCCTGGTGAAATCACAGCAGTAATCCGAGCCAGGCGGCGACAACGGCCGAGGAGACGAGCTTAAAGGGTTTTTGCCACAAGGATCACACTTCTTCAGTTGAGTGAACACGGAATCATTATGCGTTACAGATGAAGCAGCAATATTACAGTTACTGGAAGAAATCAACGATGACATCGCTGCGCTACGTTTGCAAATGTACGTACACGAGGGCCAGAGAGAAAGAATAACTATATATCTGGTACAGTCCCAAAAGAGCGGTTCCCATTCATGGCAACATCCGGCCCTCCGACAAAAGGTTTCAACACACACACACACACACACCCCTACCCTACTAAAACCCCAGCTCCCACTAAATTTTAATAACAAAGACCAATACACAGATCGAGCACAAATGGTAGGAAACCCGCACATGCATATACGCACACTCTGACACACACAAGATTTGGCGTTGCTGTGGACTTTTGTGTGCGTGTGTGCTCAGTAGTTTACACAGGTTCAATAGAGCCGTACTGGCGTATAAATGTCTGTTTGAGTGATGGAGGCCGGCATCTGTTCAGCAGGGATGAGCGGTGCCACTCGCTCACAGGACCGTGTCCCCGGAGACCAGCCTGCGGACCCCCCCGAGCCTTCTGCCCCCCTTCAAGCACAGGCGGAGTGACTTTGCATGTGTAGAATGAGGTTTGATTGATGGAGCCCTTGTTGAGGTGGCCATGATGCTAAAAGCTGGTAGTTTATATGCTCAGAATGTTCTTCTCTTCCATTATAAAGATTTGAACCTTCTTATTTTGGTTTGGTATTAGCCTCTCCATATCAAGATAGGACTTGTTATCACATAGTAAAGTCACAATATTCATCTTAAGTCACCACAGAGAGGGTGTATACACACTGCAATGTGTTGATTACTGTGTCTGTCCTGGTTTTCTCTTCATATTTGTATCAGGTTTTTTGCTGCTATCCCCATAGAATGAACTACTTTAGGTGTGTGTGTTAGTGTCTTAGAGCAGCTAGATAAAAATATGTGCTATTTTTCTCTTCATTTGCAATGCTTGCATTTCCGATTAGAAACTGATCTGAGGTGAGCTTCATAAACAGAAGTAGGAGATTGAGTGAGATTAACATATTAATAGTTTGTGGCTCCTCCTACTTCTCCAGCAGCTCTCTCTCTCTCTCTCTCTCTCTCTCTCTGTGTTTGTCATTCCTACTCAACTTTGTTTCGGTGCTGCTGTTCTCTCCTCTTTTTCCTCCTGAAACACTGCAGCACTGCAGCTCGCTCTCTCTCTCTCTGTCCTACTGTTCTGTTTCCTTTGTTTTTCAGACTCACTCTTCTCTCTCACTCTCTTTTTCCGGGAGAAGAGGGTAACTTTCTGTTTGTTTATTGCTGAGCACAGTAGTCGTCTCTCCTTCTCTGCAACCGCTAGTGGACTTTCTTTTGCTGTCTTCCCACCATCACAGGGAGAAATAACCACAATCTACTGAGCAATAGACGCTGGACTCGTCCCCGGCAACTGTGTAACTATGCAGTGCAGCCACGGAGCAGAAATTGGGCAAAGAAACCAAACGGTGAACTTTCACCGCAGACACTGAAGAACTTTGTGGAGGAAGCTAACTTTACATCTCGGCTGGACTTGCGTAACTGTAGATAACAGGATTAAGGATTAAGGAGACCAAACAACAAGAAGCCTTTTTTTTTTAAAGTTCTCCCCGTGGTTTTTATTCACAGTCTATACAAAGTGTCAACGGAGCAGAAGATTGAGCTCCACCTCTCTGGAAGTAACCGTCGGCTAACGAAGCTGTAGACAAAAGTGGGGGGACAAAGATTTCTGCCTGGGAGACGGACTGTGTGTCTGTGTCTTTGTCGTTTTTTTTAGGGTTGTGCGAGTGTGTCCTCGAAGTTGTGTCAGGACCTTGGTGTGCATGTTTATTTATGTAGCTTCCGTACAGCGTGGTTGTGTGTGTGTGTGTCTGTGTGATGCGAGGCTGTGAGACAGCTGGCTGTCTATCTGTCCTCGATACAGACGGACACGCGGAGGGACAGACATGTGTTTCCATGGCAATGAGCGGCTGTAGCCCCTTTCCCATGTGTTGGGACACAGGTATGAGTAAAATCTCCTTTTCTCACACACGCACGCACGCACACACATACAAATAAAACACACAAACCCAAGTAGCAATCCCCTCCACAGTGTGACATCTGACTCCATGGGAACTGACTTGTACAGCCAAAGCTACCGTTGCTTTGCATTAGTAGTGAGCGTGCGTTTGTGTGTGTGTGTGTGTGTGTGTGTGTGTGTGTGTGTGTGGGGGGTGGTGAGAAAGTGAGAGAGATATGTTTACGTGCTGAAACCTATAATTGTGATTTAAAAGGTGGAAGTACATATTAATCTCACTGTGCTAAATCCCTCAACAACTCTGCAGTCTCTCCTCCGATGTGTGTGTGTGTGTGTGTGTGTGTGTGTGTTTTAGTCAATCTCTCTCCGTCTCTTCTGCTCAGCTGTAATTACCTGCCTGAACATATCAATTTTCCTTTACCGGAGAGGAGGAGAAGCACAGGACTAAAGTGAAGTAGAGAAAAAAGAGATCTGATCATCTTGTTTTGTCTACGTAGTGTCATGATTAGAACAACACACACAAACAAGCGTGCAAAAGCACGTCTTGCACAGTAACGCTCTCGCACACCGAGGCGGTAGTTGTTGTCAGGAATTCTGAAATGAAGTTGCTGTGAAATTGCAGGAAGTGTGTCACGACTTCTTATTCAGGAAAAACGTCAGCCTGATGTGCATTGTCTCTGTGTCATGGACACAGGTGGCGCCATACTCAGCCTTGACCCTGCCTGTACCTCTTTCTCTCTCCCGCTCTCTTTATTTCTTTCTCTGGTATTTCATTGTTCTATATTTTTTCATCTTTTGTTTCTCCCAAAGAACAATGTTGCCAAAGTACGTCATATCCCAAATAGATAAAAAGTGTATTTGATGTAAGACAAGAGCAGGATTCAAGTCCCTGGCATTACTCGTGCATCCAGAGAGAAACGATAAAACACAAAGTATATTATTAATATTACTACAATATACTGACTAAAGCTGATAAAATGAGTTAACATAAATGTAATTGGCAGCTATTATTATAATGTTTCCATCATTGTTCAAACAAAAGTGGGAAACAGTCTCTGGTCTCAGCTTCTCAAATGTGCACATTTGCTTTTTTTGTCAGTTTTTTGTGTGAGTATAAACTGAATATCTCTAGGTTTTGGGAACATAAAAAGCAACATAAAGATGTCCCCTTGTGCAGTAGGATATATATTGACTAAAGGATTAATCAAGAGAAAAATCAGCAGGTTCATCTGCAATGCAAATGGTCTTTTTGCTGTTCGCTTTTATGCATGTGTATATGAGTCTGTTTGCTTGGATTACTCTCTTCAGATTATCCTCCTTATCCTGTATGATTACACCAATGTCTGATTTGTCCTGTTCTCCCTCCCAGAATATGACAGACACCTAGCAGCTGCAGCGTCAGCAGGGAAGAACATGGCGACGGCCTACCTGGACCCCAACCTGAACCATGCCCTCCTGGGAGGCGCCAAATCCCGACTCAGCGCAGGGGGGTCAGACCGAACCATGGCTGGCTCCGTGGACAGGGTTCTGAAAGTCTTCCATCACTTCGAGGCCAACACTGAACACAGCTGCTGGTCCTCCAACATCCGATATGGAGACGCGACGGATGTTAAAGTAAGAAGAGGCACACACTTCTATGCACCACCACAGACCGCATGTACAGAGTATCTGTTCATGTCAACCCTCAAAAATCCAAAAGCGGCCAGCAAAATTCATCCTCCAGGTTCAGATTTTTCAATCGGAAGCAATGTGCCAATCTTTTTTTTTTTTTTAACCCAAAAGAGATCCAATATCTCCAGCCTCATTCTGTCATACTTGCAACGGTTTTCAAATCAAAAACGAAATATCATCCGCGTGAATCGTTTGGATTCCAAAGACTTTATTTTGGGAGGGGGCTGGGGAGGGTCAACTGGCCGGCCAGCTAGTCTAGGTTCTTAGTGAGACAAGGAGAAAAGGTTATGATCTTTGCAATAAAAGATCTTTGATGTGACGTGTCGAGTCCCGCCCAATCAGTGTTAAGAGTTAAGATAGCGTTAAGACGGCTTCTTCATTTCCTCTTCATCCTTCCACTCCAAATTGAAGTCACCGCCAATACTGGATTATTATCATTATTAGTACCATAAGGGTTTGATCTATGTCTATGATCTTAATCAGATCAGTTTAGAATCAAAAGGCCGTAGTTATAAAAGCTTGAGGTCTCATCAGACCACGTCTATGTGGTGTGGCGGCCGAACATGGTTTGCCGCAATGTGTTTAATAAAACCAAACTGCACCCAATCATTTTTACCCCAAACCCATTTGCAGGTAAATTAACCATTTAAACTTTGAAAGCAGTAATATTGCATGTTTTGCCCTGAGCTGTAGTTGTAACGGTGGATTTCTGCAGTTGGTCCTCACCTCTAGGGTCCTAGCTATCTGCTCTGATAAAGTTTCTCGGCACAATGAGAATATTTTCCTAGCAAATATACACAACCTCAGGGCACGCTCTCTGTGTGTATGTACTTACTGAGCAGTAGCTTTTAGTTCCCCTCACATAATGTACAAACTACTTAGCACTGCTCAAACTTTAGCGGTGGTACAGGAGACGTCGCTCCAAATCTCCTCTCCCGGCATCCCCCCTTTCTCTCTCTCTCTCTTTCTCCAACAGTATCTAGGTCAGACCCCTTTAGCGTTGGCAGCACACATGGTTGTGTGAGCATTATTATGCATGTGTGTATGATGTCTGTCAACTTGTTTGGGTGGAAACGTCACGTTGAATCGCTTGAATACACACACACACACACACACACACACACACACACACACACACACACACACACACGTGCATCGACTCGTTGACCTGATGCAACATTCCAGATGTAAAGATGAGCTCAGTTGGCACGCTGAGGTATGGCGGGCTGACTGTTCCATTGACTGTCTGTTTTTGTCCACCGGGCATCTTTGTCTAACTGAGGAATCAACTGCTGATGAAAAGGGAAAAGTCTATTAATGCTATTTTCTATTAATTTTTTTTACTTAAACATAAAGCTTATTGAAGTTGGTGGAAAAAATCATCTGGTCGCATAAATTGTTGCTCCTTGTTTCCAGGGAATCATCCAGAAGATTCTCGACATCCACAAGGTGCGCTGGACGTCTTGTTTTGGTCTCCGTCTCAGCAACAGCCAATCCAGAGACCAGGTGCACTGGCTCCACCCCGATTTAGGCGTTTCCCACGTCCGAGAAATGTATGACCAGGCTCGGTCGACGGAGGAGTGGAGGTGAGAGGACAGAGTGGATTTATTGCAAACAACGTTAAACAATGACACGACCCATCTGTTGTGTATGTGTGCGGGTTTGAGTTGGTGTGGCAGATGTTAATGCTCTGGTGTATATTACCTTTATTGTGGCAGTCTGTGTGCTATTGGTATTGTGAGGTAGAGACCTTTCGCTCTGTGGCCATAAAAAGAGAGCAAACCAGATGCCTGCTTTGTCCAATTAAGTCAACAACTCTCTCTCTATATATGTCCGTCCCCCTCTGTCTCTCTCGTTGTGTTGCAGTTGTGCTTATCAATTGTTTTCTCACCTCCTTATGTCTCTTCCTCTCCTGACTCCTTCTCTCCTCCCCCTTTCATTGTCCCGCTCATCACACCCTCTTTAATCGTGTCTTCTTTATGACTTTTTGACCCTCCTTGATGAGTTTTTCTTGTAGCGATGGCTGACTCAACATGCTTCCTCCTCTCCTTTCCTCTCCTCTTGTACCACATAGAAAGCATCTCAAACTGATCACTGAATCCCAACCTTTAATCCAAAGGTGTTGAACTGGTCTTTATTTCGTTTTTTTGTAAGTTGGAAAGATGCTGCTGTGTCCCCGCGCAATGCGCTCAGTCTGCCTTTCTCCTTGTCCACTGTAGGTACGAGCTAAGGATTCGATATCTTCCAAAGGGCTTTGTGCAGCAGTTCACAGAAGACAAACCTACACTCAACTACTTCTACCAGCAGGTACACACATGCACGCGCGCACACACACACACACACACACACACACAAACCGAGACATTGGCACTGCTTGAAAGTCTGTTGTGCTTGTGTTTTCTTTTTGCTAATCTAGGTCACCGGGACCGTGAGGCCTTGACATTTGTTGTTTGTAAAACTAAATGTGCCAGTGTACATTTTTTTTATGTGTTTGTTTCCCACAGGTGAAGAATGATTACATGACAGAAATTGTGGAACAGGTGGAACAGATGTTGCTCTAAAACTGGGTTGTCTGGAAATCAGGTAGGATGTGAACACACTGCTGTGCTCCTCTTTGAGGACTTGTGCATGAATATCTCAAAGCTACGAGGTACTATGAGTCACTGTAGTTCTTAACGTCCAGTGACGCTCATCTTTTTACCACGAAAGCAAGAGTTTTCTCCCATCGCGGATTAGATTGAAACAATCACAAACTCCCTCTTTTTGTCCTAACAAAATTAGTTATTTTTATGTGAAACGTTGATTATTAGTTGATTTATTTTAAACAAACACCTACTTATTAGAATAACATAAAAAACCCATTTGTAATTCTTATGTAGGCTACAAGCCCAAATATTTGGAACATTTGAGAAGTAGCGTCTTTAAACAGTCTGTGTCTACAGCTGAAGTATTTCACATTGTTCTCTCTATGTGTCCCACTGTTTTCTATTCCAGGAGGTTCTTCAAAGAGATGAGAGGAAACGCCCTGGACAAGAAATCCAACTATGAACTATTAGAGTGAGTATTTTCTTTGGCCGCTCACAAACTGGGGTCACATGCGTCCTCAAACTGGAACCAGGTTTTGTAATACTGCAGAAATAACAGCAACACAACGCAGTGTCTGGGTGCGGTAAAGGGGTTCCCATGCGACTCCTCAAAGTCTGGACGAGTGGGAAACAATAGAAAGGATTTCAACGGGAGTTTGAGAATTGCACGAAAGTCTGGAAACATTTAAAACTCTTTCACAATTTTCCCTGGTTTCTATTTACTCGTGCAGAGAAAGTCTGTGGCTTCAATTATCATTTTCAGCACTGTGCTTATTCACTTGGCCAATTACCTTTTAATACTCCCTCATTTCTTACATTTGTTTGGGTCTGACTCCCTGGTTTACTCCACGTGTCGATCCGCCACCGTCCCTCTGCTAGATGGATGTGGAGGAACATTAACGGTGTCCTCAGAGAGGCTCAGTCCAACGTGATGGCCTTCTAGAGAACTGCCCTCTTCCAATGAAGTCTTTCTTTCTGTCCGTCAGCCTAACGAGCTCTCCAATTAACTGAGAACAATGCCCTCTCTTTCCACACGCAGCTCTTTGTCTCTCTCCTTCGTCCTCTCAGTCCTTCTCTGTATGTCTGTCTCTCTCCTTCATCCTCTCAGCCCTTCTCTTTCTGTCTGTCCCTCTTCTTTGTCCTCTGTTCCTCTCTGTCTTTCTCTCGTCCCCTTTTCTCTGCTTTTCTCCCCTATTCTAGCTGTCTTGTCTTTTCCCAACATGTCCCTCGCATCACATGTCCCCCTTTCTGTTGATTTGATAAAGATGTGGTGCCATGCATAGTGTAGGGAGATGGGGAAGGTGCTGTCAGGACAGTCGGCCATCAGGGCTCCTGTTATGTGTCTGTGATCGATCTCTGCTTAAACGTTTTAGGAGTGCCTGGTATTTCATCCATTTAAGTTTGTTCACCTCGGCTGGTTTCCATGGTGTAGCTTCCTCTTTTTCTTGTTCACTCTCTCTGTAAGTCACACTGGTAATTCATTAGAATGAATTAACTGGGTGTGTAAAAATTAAGTACGTTAGCATCTTCATTTTCCGTATAATTTGTACCAGTTACATAGTTCTTTCCAGCAAATTGTTTCAAAAGACATTAAGAATGTACAGACCCACATTTAAAGGATCCTCTCAATAGATTTGCAGTATTGTAAAAATGTGAGGCAAGTTTTCATCTCTACAGACTTGTCCGTCTCCTGGTTGGTTTCTCTTATACAGAACAAGAGTCCTATGCGTCCCGTTGCCGCTGTGATGTACATAGCATTGGTATTGAGAGAGAGAGAGAGAGCTGACAAACAGCATGTTGCATCCTTTCATACACATGGTGATGCACAGTAGTGGTATTCACACCACTTCTGTTCTGCCATAGAGAGCGTAATGAAAGCGAAGGCACCTCTGACAGTTTGGACAACCACAGGGAAGCACTTTCTGTCCATGATTAACGACTACATATAATAATAATAATTGACTGATATTTGACCTTCGTCGGAAAAACAGGCTGACGTAAGCTCTCAGCATCGCCCCCCCATCTCTCTCTCCTCCACGCCCTGTGCTGAGTGCTCCCTCCAGAGGAGTTTGAATCATTAGTAAGCTTCCTGTTTTAGCGTTGCATATCTCTTTGTCTCTGTGGTCTCCCTTTTCGACTCCTCCCCGCCTCTCTCCATCCGTCTTCTTCTCCCCTCTCTGTTTCTCCTCAGCCCCGTCTCTTAGGAAAAGATGAGTCGTGCTCTGTGTTGTCAGCACTTAGCCACGGCTTTCTGTTTTGTGTTCCTTGTCTCGACTGGCCTGTCCTGCATAACATAATCTGTCTGTAGCTGGTGCTGAGATCAGGCCAAAGGCCAAAGTGTTTGACAATTAACATTCCTCAGTGTAATTGCAGCGTGACAATCACGGTACTCTCTTCCACTTGTGTGTCTCTCTCTTTCCAGGAAAGATGTTGGCCTGAGGCGTTTTTTCCCAAAAGACCTGTTGGATTCAGTCAAGGTGAGAATAATGATCAAAACAGAGGTGAATTACACACATTGCACTTTCTCCTCTTGAAATATTTGTTAAAGAAATATTTCAAACCCTAACCCTTTTTTTGGGGAGAAAAATGTTGGTGTCCCGATAAGTGATGCTCTCCCCTCATCCGGCAGCTGCTGTCACGTTGGCCCATCTGCTCCACTGCAGTACTTTGATTACTTAAAGTAACCAAAGTGTGCGGTTTCCAGGCAGCTCCCGTCTCTGTGGAAGTGAATGCTCCTCCGAGCCAATTTTCTGACTGTGTTACTCGATGTGTTGTCAGTCCCGGGCTGATAGAGTGAACAGCCTTAGCAACAGGGAAGTGAAATGTTGGCCAACTAATCAGCGCCGTTTAGGCGACTTGTACCCGAGCACCTACTTACGCACACTGTGCATGATGGCCAACCTTTGTTCAAAGAATAGTTGGACAGAAAATACGTTTTATTAGGCTTTCTTAAATTACAAGATTAATTCCAATATCATATCTGACCAGTAAATCTAAAGCTACGGGCAGCTGCTGGTTAGAAAGACTGGAAAGGGGGGAAACTGCTGGCCTGGATTCGCAACAGAATTCTGAGTTTGTTGGTTGGCGATATGCTTTAGTGTTAGAATGGACAGTTCACTTGTAGCCTGCCTGATTCCCTTTGCGGATGCTTGTATGTGCCGGCTGGGTTCCGTCTGCACAAAGACCACCGTCTGTGACAGTGATAAGTTTACGGCACGCTTTTTTGGGGAGGGTCTTGGTGAAAGAAAGGCCCGGCGACCCGAAAAGTTCTGTCAGCTTGATGTCAGCAGGCGGGCGGACAGATGCTCTGCGGAGGGAGAGACACTTTTCCTGCGCATGTGTGTTATATTGGTGACCCTGAGGTCGCCTTTAAACCCACGTTCTCTTTCCAACAATGAGGAGGGAGGAGGAGGGAGGAGGAGTTGTCTCCCCCCCTTCCCTCCGTCTGTCAGCCCCTGCTGACTCCCCCTCATCACCTACTCGACCTCCTATTTCTCTCTTTTTCTGCTCTAGTGGCAGACATGCCAGCACAAGGTGGCCATAGTTGGGTTTTCTAAGCCGTAACAATGCATCCAGTGATATATTTATATTAAAACGTTGGCACATCTGACCTTGTTGTGTGATGTCTAGACTGATGCTGTGACTTAGTAATGAGCTCAAACATTGAGCCAATCAAAGAATTATTTCAACCATTAAGTTGTTCAAGCAAAATTACAAAGCATTTTGTCGTTGTCAATTGCAACAATGGGATGAAAATACTGTACTGTTGCACGAAAAAAAGCGATGTGACGACGTGATCTTCTGAAGGCCATTTCCAAGACCAAACTATGGATTCATAACGTAAGAAAATAACCTGCATCACCTGCAGCCCTTTTTACTTACTTGTCCGTGGATGTGAGAGAGAGAGAGAGAGAGAGAGAGAGAGAGAGAGAGAGAGAGAGAGAGAGAGAGAGAGAGAGAGAGAGAGAGAGAGAGAGAGAGAGAGAGAGAGAGAGAGAGAGAGAGAGAGAGAGAGAGAGAGAGAGAGAGAGCACAGCTGCCTTTTACGCTTCTGTCGTTCACTCTGGGGCAAGAGAATGGAGTCATTTAATGGGATTATTCACCCTCAATGAACTACACACACACACACACACACACAAGAACAGATGGCTATGGTAGTAAACAGGGACGGACGTTAGCGGTGGGGAAAGCTTCATAAAGAGCTAAAGTCTGTTCGTCTACATTGACAGGCCGAGCAGCATGTTTAGTGAAACTGACCTGTAGTGGCTTTACAGATCAGAGTGTGACCAACCAGCCGGTATCCTAACTCACTGCAGTGCTCTCCACTTGGTTACTCTCATTACTCGCAACAAGATTTGTTGTCACATTTTATTTTTGTTTTATATCTTTCTTTAAACAAACATTCTTTGTGTATTCTCTACTCAAGGTCTGGAATCACAATGTCTGAAACAAAGTCTGCCTTTATCCAAAGTATACACAAAAACCAAGATCATGTAGACAAAGTATAAAATATCTTAATTCAAAATAATATCTTGTAAAAATGTTATTTTGCATCACAATTTTACATAATAAATAGATCTGTCTACAAATATTTTTGTAATAAATACCAAAGTAATTCTTGATATAGTCTACTTTCATAATGAATATTTGTTTGGAAGCTTCAAGCTGAAGTCAGGAAGCAAACCTGGCTCTGTGCTGTACTCTTTCTTATCATTGGAATAGAGGACTCAATAGTATAAATATGCATTTATGTCAGTCATTCATGAACAGGAAGTTGATGATACAGTAATAAATCAGAAATGCCATAGTGCAAGTATCCTAGAATAAGATGCATATAAATCTGTTTTACTGTCGGGAGATAATGACACAATGAAAACATATCACTACATCTAAGGACATGAAAAGGAAATTTGTTTCATCTAATTCCACCCCGACAAGGACATCATAGCAACTCGACATCGCCTCCAGCCCCAAACGGTGATGCACACCTTCATCATTGTGTCCTCCCTTCTGTAAACACATTAATGAAAATAATATGTATTCCATGTGTGACTTGCAAGCTGAGTGACACAACGCGCAGGCCCGGTTGCCACAGCGATGGTCAGCGTGGTGATGGGCCGGGCGATTGCTTCCCTCAGTGCTTCCTCTCAGGAAGGGTGGACAATTTTAGCCGACAATATCTCTCCGTGTAAATGTGTGTGTGTGAGACTGGTGGAATTCAAGGAATTAAAACACAGATCCTATCAAGAGCGCAGAGAGCACACAAATGAGTGCACACACTTTATAGTCTGTAGTTGTGTTTTGACATCTGTCGAAATGAGACTCACACACATGGGTATTGGAGATGTGTGCGTGCGTGCACATGTGTGCGCGCGTTTCAGGCTTATTGAATAGACATCTGCCAAAGGCTCTGTACGGAAATGAAGTGTAAATGTTCATGCTTTAATTTACAAATGAGCAAAAACAGTTGTAGAACTAGTTATTTATTCAACAAAATGGTTTGTAAATAAAAATGAAGACTTAATCCGAATTTTTATAATTGTATAATTGTCTGTATTATCAAAGGGTTTAAACACGTTTGACATCTTCTCTGCCTCATTAGGCCCTAACATGTCCAAGTAACATTTAAAGATCAATAAATCAATTTTGTGAACTGTTCATTGTGGAGAATGACCTACATGTGATGAACTAGTCTACTATGGACCTACACATGCTTTTTTAAGCCTGGATGTTGTGCACTAAATCCACTTTAATCTTTATCTTAATCTATACATGGGGATCTATTTATAGTTACAGTGTCTGTACTGTAAATCTGCTTGTGTGAATGTGTATTTTAATTGAAGAAACCCATCTACTCCATACATTTTAATCCCATAATACAGAATATTTCTCCCTTGAAATGTATAGAAGCTCCGGTCATTTGAGGGCGGGTCAGGATTCAAAAGGTTATGTTGTCTGTGTAAAATTCCTCCTTTAGACAAGACCCAATGTTTTAATCTATACATCCAATGAAGAGGATGACATTGTGTTCATGTGTAGAATAATGAAAAATGTTTTTTAATAGATTTTATTTCTGTTGTCTCCCCATCTGTCTTCTTCCTATGATGTAAGTCATCTAAAAAATTTAAATAAATCAGGTCTGAGGAGCCGGACTGAGTCTGTACGAGCGATCACATGTAGTCTAGATCTAAACCATGCAGATGCACTTGTTTTTTTTCATTTTTGATAAGGTTTTAGATAAACTTCGATTCTATGCATATTTTCTTGCCTTAACCTGCCGATTTATTTCCTCTCTTCAGGCTAAAACCCTCAGAAAGCTGATACAGCAGACTTTCAAGCAGGTGGCCAATCTCAACGACGAGCAGTGCATCCTGAAGTTCTTGGAGATTCTGGCACCGATCCATCGCTATGACAAGGAGTGCTTCAAATGTGCCCTTGGGGTAGGGTTTTTTTCGATCCTGCCTCCGCTTTTCTGTTGTGTTAGGCTGCCCCCTCACGGTGGCATCTGGTCCTGCATGTGTCCCAGATGTGGTATATGATTTGTGGGGGCCTGTTCCTTGTACTCCTTCTACATCAGGCCCTATTGCAGGAGGGGGACGAGGGTTCTACCCCTTGCTCTTATCTCAGCCGGTCATACCAGATTTATAACGATGGTCGCCACAAACAAGGAATTATTCCGAAAACAAATTTGCCATCTATTCATAAGTCAAAGGAATGTATTGAGATAACACGAAATGTAAGAATTATGGCTGTAACATGATGCTTGAAAGCTCGGCTCCCTTCTAACACCTTCTTCCGTAGCATTTTATTGTCCCTCGTGGCTCCTCCCCTCTTCCTCTTGTAACTTGTTTCCCCGCTCTTCTCTCTAACAGTCCAGCTGGGTGATCCAGGTGGAGTTAGCCATCGGGCCGGAGGAAGGGATCAGCTACCTCACTGACAAGGGATCCACGGTGAGTTCCTACAGAGACCACATCAGGCTAAACAGCCAGGTTTAAGATATCTGTTAGGAATGACCTTGGCCTGTTAGTTTGTGGATCCCAAATATATTTAGACCAAATGTTTCCAGGTCTCAATTCTTTAGTTTAAGACTTCACAGATAGCAACTGTTCATTTGATTGTGAGTGGATATGGATAAGCCCAGTTCTCATGGTCTAGTGTTGACTCTGTCTGTGTTCTCTCTCCCATCGTCCAAAGCCCACCCACCTAGCTAACTTCAACCAGGTCCAGTCCATCCAGTACTCTGCCATGGAGGAGAAGGACAGGAAAGGGATGCTACAGCTCAACGTAGCCGGAGCTGCTGAGGTATTTCTACCGTGTCTGTCTTTGTCTATGAAACACTCAAAGATGTTCACAACTGTTTGGTTTATTTAGTACACACTCTGACTCAACCGGTTGCAAATACAGGTTGAGGATTCATACATACAAGATCAATTTAAACGAGAGAAGAGTTTCTTTGGAGAAGTTGATGTACCACAATACTGGGAGTTTAGTTTACTTTAGTTTACTGTATCAAACTTCTCAAAATGTCAGAATAGAATGCAGAGAGAACATTGCAATTGGTGCATTCACAATGTTTAAAATATATTTAAATCCGCAAAGGAATGCAATGGTTCTCTCTCTAGAAAGAGTTATATTTGGATTATTTATTTAGAGCTTTTTCCTCTAATGAATACAAGACCCGAGCTGTCCATACCATGATTAGTGTAAGTGAGCAACTGAGATGGATCCAGAGATTAACTAATGGTTTTCCATGTATTGATCCCGCTTGCTGGTTACGCTCACAGAGGAAGGGTTTCATAACACAGTCTCTCACAGTTTTATTGGCTTTTATGGTATTGGATTATCTCTCACACACACACACACACACACACACACACACACACACACACACACCAATGCTGTGAGAGAGAGCAGTTTTCCCCTGACCTACGGAGCAGCTGGAAACCCCCACTGCGCTGTTTTGTGTGGGAGTAAATGTGTGTGTATCGGTGTGGATAATGGCTCTTTGTAACAGGCCTTCCTGTGTGTGTGTGTGTGTGTGTGTGTGTGTGTGTGTGTGTGTGTGTGTGTGTGTGTGTGTAGCCTCTCACAGTTACGACAGCATCGTTGACCATGGCAGAGAACTTGGCTGACTTGATTGACGGTTACTGTCGGCTCATCTCCATGGAAACACACTCTTTCATCGTCAGATATCAGAAAGGTACGAAGCGGGATATACCGCCTTTCTAGCCTCTTTTGGGATTATCGCTAAAATATTAGGCTACAGCCTTGTAGCACACCTCATTCACTGGACTTTTCTGTGGTCAAAGATATACAGTGATAACTGTGAGTGTAACAAATTCCCCAAAAATCAGTCATTGAAAAGCAAGTTTACATAGTCTCTAAGAATCCTAGAGTGTGGTAATGATTTTTCAAACTTGTGTGCAGACATGCGGCCTACAACATCTATTGCAACAATTAACATAAATTGTTATATCTAGTACTCTCTATTTGAATAGTAAGTAATTAGTTGTGCAGCGCTGCTATTTAATAAATGCTTTGTGAAACACTGAACTACGGCACTACATGCTGGTGGTTAACCAACTGTAGGTATTGTGTTATTGAACCAGGTAGTTATACGTAGATTTAATTTGCTTCACGTGACTTATCACTCTCATCCTGACGATTTGTCTTGTTGTCCTCTAGAGGGGGAGAGAGCACTTCCTTCCATCCCAAAGTAAGTAACCATCTTATTCTTAGTGTTTGCTACGCGTAGGCTTACCAGTCCAGGTTTGAGACTAAAAATGGTTGTTATGGTGCCGGGCTGATGTAAAAGGAATCACAGATCTAATATGAATATAATCAGTCATTTGCAGCGCGGTAGTCTGAGATTATTATGGCAGAGTCGATTGATAAATTACATCAAAACTCAACAGATCCGAACTGAAACAACTCAATTTTATTGGGTTTTCGGCCCATAACAGCAGGGCCTTCACCCTATTTCTGTTAGGTGGATGGGGGTGGGTGGTGCGTTGGTTCATTGTGTTTGTTTATCCAAGACCTTAGAAGTTTGGACATTTTATGTTAACATTTTACTGCCTCTTGATCAAATTCAGACACTCATCTTTTGCTTACTTTTCGGTCATTTCATCTTAAATCTCTCCCTCTCTCCTTCTCCCCTTTCACCTCTTTTTGCTCCATCTCTGGTCAAATAAGGAGCTAAGCTTAGGAGCCAAATATTTTCCTCTAAGGGTTTTTAAACACATGGACAGTCTCCTCCCCTTTGTCTCTCACTCTTGTGTTCCTCTTTGGTCTCTCTCTCTCTCTTTTTCTCTCCGCTTGCTGCGGTGGGGATGTAAATGTCGTAGTAAAGCTCACGTGACCACACGGACAGGACGCTGCAGAGGCAGAGAGACGATTGAAACAGCCCGGGTTTGTTTGCAGATGCAGCGCCCACAGTCTCCTCTTTCAGAGTCAGAGCTGACTCTGAAAATGACGTCTGTTTTTTGTTTAAAAAGGTTACTTAACTTAACCGAGATATGATGTTGCCGTACGTGCGCATTAAAGGTGTTTGAGTGTTCTGCTTCTTTTTCTTCTTTTGTAGATTGACCAACAATGAGAAAAAGTTAGAAGCCGTCCGGAGTGGAGTAAGAGCTATCTCCGTCTCGGGTGAGAGAAGTGTCCTGCTCACTCGCAAGTCCACAGGTTGAGGCGCCAGATGTCCGATCGCTTTGTCGGCTTTCTTCCTGTCCCTCCATTTTTTTCCAACATCTGTTTTCTCTCTCACTCATCTCTCGTTGTTTTGCTCTCTGTTGGGACGGCCTCTCCCTCCCTCCTCACCCCGTCCCCTCTGTTCCTGCTTTCTTTTGTTTACTTCTGCCGCTCTGTCTTCCACACATCTCCCCTCTGTACTCATTCACTTTTCTTTTTATTTTTTCCTGCCCGGTTGGCTGCAGACCTCGTGACTTCGCCGCCTCTCAAGCCAACCAAGGCGCGGCGTTTCCTCCTCCCCTTTGTGTTCTGTTCAGATTCGCCGCCCAAGGGTATCCTCAGCTCCCATTGGATAGGTAGTGGAGGAGCGTGTCTGCAAAATTGTGATGTGGCAGAATAAAAATGCCTGATTTGATGATCATTCTTATTGGCCGAAGTTATATTGCAGTAAATATGGGGTACAGAAAAACCTCAGAGAAAGAAGCATTTGAAATGCCAAACGGCAAAATAGATGAAGATTTTTCACTAATCTGGCTTAAAGAAAAGAAAAGAAAAAATACTGTATGGACACAGTTTTGGTTGCTGTTCATGGATTTCAGTATTTTAAATGCAAAAAAAGTTTTTGTGGATGAATTGATTTCATCTGCTGCATCACAATCAATCTTTTTTTTTTTTGGTGGCTTTTGACTAATTCAGTACAACGAAAACACGCACGCCACGACCACGATAACTGCTTGTGTGATGCTTCTGACCAAGGCGATGCTCCAGAAAGTAAGAGCAGTAAACAAATGAAAACTTTTGATTTGTGCTGTAACTTTCTAACTGTGAGGTCACTCGTTAAAACCGCAGGTTTTTGACATTTCCTTACTAAAAGGAAAACATTTCTATGTGTTACTTCTGACCTTCGTGAATAAGTATTGAGATTTGAGGCAAGCTGCTGCCACTTAAGATGTATATGTTCTATTTTCCTGTGGGAATCATCTACATCCAGAGTAAAGTGTTTCTCTGGAATTTCATTTCAGCACATGCCTCGTTGTTGAGGGTCCGTTTGGTTATTTTTAATCACCATTTTCAGTGTTTCATGTCTGTGAATTCAGGAGGGCAAAGTAGTTCGAGGGATAATTCCTCCTTTTGAGTTAAACCCCCAAGTATCTTCCCTGTTAAAGCAGCCGATCAGCACCAGCTAAGCGATGTAGTTTTATAGGCAGGAAAAACACTTGAAAAATGAAAATCCATGAATGCTGTGGAGTATTGTGATTCTACTAAAACTCCCTCCGTGTACGTCGTACTTTGCATATATGTCTCCTGCACAGAGTTTAACAATCTGTGTCCTTGTGTTTCCATCTATGCAGCTTTCTTTGCCTTCTGCTCAGAGAAAGCAAAGGATAACAAATGATTTGAACCTTTCAACATGCCAACACCTACAGTTTAACTACTGTAAGTCGATTGGTAATGGTACTGAAGGCCGTATAATGATATCCTTACTTGTAAAGCACTCTTTACAATAAAATTCAATTAAGCATTTCACTGGATTCAAAAAAATCAACGATAACGAATGCCAATGAACATTCAATAGTAAGGACATAAATCAAGACAGAAACCATTATTCAAAATGAAAGGAAAATAAAACACTTACAGAATGAAAACAACACCAACAAAGTATGTTTTAAGAAAAGGTCATTAAAGCCCAAAAATGAAAGATGCATGAATAGCAATCAGAAGATCTCGCTATTCATCAACTGTAATGTAAGTAGGGATGAAGCTAAAGGCTGTATACAGTATTTGCCCTACAGATAAGGACGTGGTGGCTTCCTCCTACTGTAAATCTGTAGTGTAACCTAAAAGGTCAAACTCTTCCTTCTTAATTTCATCTGTCCTCCATGTTAGGGTTGACATTCTTACGAGGCCATTAACATCATCCAATCCAATGTGCTAACTGTTGTTCATCTCACCTTTATGTGGTTGTGTGCCCTTATTGAACTTTCTCACCAGAGATATTGTGAAACGAAGCTAACTCCCCGCTGAGTGTTTTTTTGGCTTTGCAGATCCGGCAACATCTCTCATGTTGTTTCCAGGCTTTTCATGCTCTAACCGCTGTCTTTCTCTCTCTCTCTCTCTCTCTCTTTCTCTCCCTCTCTCTCTTCTCTCTCCCTCCCTTCTGTCTCTGCCTGGCTGCTTTCTCTCTCTCTCTCTCTCCCTCTCCCTCTCTCTCTTCTCTCTCCCTCCCTTCTGTCTCTGCCTGGCTGCTTTCTCTCTCTCTCTCTCCCTCTCCATTCTCCTTCTCTTCCTGTTTCCTGCATGCTCTCCTGGACCCTGCAGAGGATCTTAGTGGGGATGGTAATGTTATGCTGTTTATCAATCTCTCTCTCTGTCCTTTCTTAATTGTCCACACTTAACCAACACACTACATGTGGGCGTGTGGGTTGATGTTTATGCATGCATGCATTTCTACATCTCTAACAATCTCTACGCTATGTGTCTATGTGCTGTATTGTGTACACATAGAGATATAAGGTGAGTTAGGTCCTTTAGAGGGAAAGAACGTTTTAGTTGAGTGTGTTTTATTTCATTGATTTGAGATATGAATATATTGCTAGTAGCTTCAATGAGTTTGATATGTTAGTAGCAACAGTTGATTTTGTAAGATGTTGTGGTCTGAGTATTTATTTTAAAATAGACTATCACTAAATGTATTTCTCTTTAAGGGAACTTCTCCAAATTCTCTTTCTCTCTGTGTCTTTCTCTGTCTACACACACACACACACACACACACACACACACACAAAATCCAGCAAATGTGTACTCTCATACATTCACGCACACACAGAGTGGAATAGGGAGAGGTTTTCTGGATTCAACAGTGGGTGCATTCCTGGCTATAATGGGATAACAAGCAAATACACACACACACACACACAGTATCCTCCTCTGAAAGTTTGACCAGTTAGACTTACAAAGGATGATTCCTTAGAACAAATCTTAAAGCATGGGAGCAAATTCTAAAAATATATAGAACTGAAAAGCTGTAGATGCTGATGTAAGTGCAACAAACAAAACGGAAAACGTTAAAGAAACCGTAACCGAATCATCTGGAAGCATTTAATGACTGCACGCATGGTTTCACTTTATCTAATGAAACCCATTTTTGCAGCATCAACCAAAGCCTTTGCTTTTATTTCAACTCAGATGAAGGTATTTATAGCGGCCCGTTAAAGGATTCCATGTGTACTGATAAAGTAAATGTTCTAACCTTAAAGCCAGTAGTGTTTCATTCATCTTATCCTTAAACGAATAGTTTGACACTGAAACATCAATTGCTTTCTTGCTGAGAGTTGCAAAAAAAAATATTGAAACCTCTCTCCTGTTAAATATGCAGCTGGAGCCTGCATGTGGTGGAAACGGTGAGCCGTTTTTTCCCCCCTCGAAGGTTATAAAAAATGATAATATGCCACGTTGATTAGTGAGCTGACAGAGGCCAGCTGACCGCTGGTTCTAGGCTTTGTGGAGAGCCAAGCGAACTGTAGCTTCCTATTTACTCTCATATTTACAGGGTTTGTGATACATTTAGGGACACAACGCCGGATAACTGCTGGACCAAGCTGTGAGAGTAGTGTTCAGGACAGCAGATGTTCCACTCTAGTTTCCAACAGCTGAGTGTGCACACTGATTTTATTTTAAACACCGCCATCTGGTTTGGATCAACTCTGCACATCTTCCCCTCTCTTTTTCCTGCTGGCTCTCTCCCTCCGTCTTCTCTCTCTACGTGATTCTGCACAGGTTTGCTCCCAGACGTTTCCATCTCTTTACCTGACAGCCGGTCTCCCCATTTCTTTCTCTTCCTGTTTTACTCGATCTGTTCATTCCTTTGGCTTTATCTCTCCTGTTAGTTTTCTACTTCTTCTTTGGGTCATTGCCTCCTCTCTCTTTCTCTCCCTCCTCCTCCTCCACTACCACCACAGTTTACTCCCTGCAGCCCAGCTGCTCTCACATAGACAGATATGCACAACACATGCTCAGCTGACACTGTCCGCCAAGTGTGTGTGTGTGTGTGTGTGTGTGTGTGTGTGTGTGTGTGTGTGTGCAGAGAAAGACTACGCGGGTGTTGCCTTGGTTCCGCGCTGGACTCCTCATGTCTTATTTTCTAGTTCTATTGTGCAGTTTGGATTATCTTGCTTTTGTGTGCATCAGTAACGCTGTCACACCATAGAGGACGCACGGTAAAACGAGCGACATGTGCAGGACTTAGCTTTTTTTGTGTTTGTGTATTTGTTATTTTAGACGTGCCTTTGTGTGTGTGTGCTCTACTTTACTCTTTTGCATTCATTCACCCCCCTTGTGTGCATCTCGTGTTACAGAAACCGATGACTACGCTGAGATAGTTGATGAAGAGGACACATACACCATGCCCTCCAGTAAGTATTCACTCTGCTTTCTTTTGTAGAACATCGGCAGCAGGAGAAATATAAAGTAGTGGTGTTTCACCGTTCGGTCGGACGCGTATACGCTCTCAGGCTGACTTCCATTTTGGGGGTTACGCTAAACCCCTTTTGCAGTTAAATTCAATCCAGTTTCAGTTTGGGCGTCTTACAAGAACAGCCGACAGCAGCTGGAGGCCGGAGGAGCTGCAGCGAGTAATCTCTAGCTGCGCTTGGTTTGACACACATTGCATCTGTCAAATTCATTCATATGTTATTCCAAACCCCGACTGCGCTGGTGAGCTTGGCTGCAGCCTCGGGACTGATGGCGGTTTCAGCCCTCGACTCCCAATACATTTAATGTGGACGTCACAGCGATGCAGAGTACTCATGCATCTCTCTGAAGATGGGCTGTGTTTCTTCTTTGCTCCCAGGGTGTTTTTCTACCTTTCTCAGTTCTTTTGATTTCTTTTGTTTCCGTGTCTGACTTATTTTCCTGCTCTGTGCCAGAGCTTGTACGTATCTGTGTAAAATTAAGCTGCATTACAGTAACTGCAACCCCTGCAAACCCGACTCTTTAGACCATTCTGGTCCCGGATTGTCATTACTTTGTTAACTAAACTAAAAGGTAAAGAGCGAAACGGGTCACTTATCTGTCTGCTGACATTTGTGTCTGTATGTGTTTTTTTCTGAGCTATTTAACATCCTTAAGCAGCTGTCTGGCTCTCTCCCTCTCTTCATCTCTGTTTCTCCCTCTTTCTCCCATCGCCAACAGTCAGCTATGGAATAGTTGAAGGTAAAGTTCCCTGTCTCTCTGTCATTCTGTGCGACCAAAATGCTTTGAGATTCAACACTTTTGTTCACATTTTTCTTTGCCAGGCACGGGATTTGCCCAAAAAGTAACTAGGACGTCTCCCTATAAGATAGTTTGGTCATTTACTGGTTACAGTATAATTGATCTAGTGTACAACAATTTCTTATGAATGTTTGTCAAAGAAAAATACAAAGAGTCAAGGTACCTAATATCCAAGTTGCTTTTGTTGACTTGTGTTTGTTGGCATTTTGTAAAGGGCATTTGGGTGCGTAAAATGAAAGGGAGGGCGAGTCCATAAACGATGCGAGACGTTACTTCATAAAGGGTTTCATTAGAAGTGTCCCAGACCTTCGCAGCAAAACAATCTCACAGTGTTTGCGTTGTAAATTGGACTGGTTCTTATTTTATTTAGTGTTGGCACGTTTTTCTTTATTTCCATTTATCATTGTGGTTGTATGTTGTCTTTTGTTGTCATCTGTTGGTTCTTTTGTGTTTTAAAGCAGTTACAACTGCCGGATAGATTCAAGTTAGTGGATTGCTTGGTAATATTGGGTTGTGTGTTTTTACTGAGTGTCTTCTGGTTGGTACGGGATAAGTTGCTATTAGCCTTGTCCTGCACGAACCTCTAAACTCATTGTTTAGTCCACTTGTATAGCGGCTGGTTTGCAGCTGGAATTAATGTAGCACCACAGAAATGTTGATGACCTTTTCAACAAAGCGCTCACATAGTATTGAAATATTTAGCAAATAAATGTCAAAACACGTGGATGTCAGTTGGAAGAATAACCGCTTTCATTGAAATTCTTTTGGACGAACTCACTGAATTTTAAAAGGTTTCCGTAGACACAGATCATATTAAATGCACTTCATATGCAGGACGTCCATTAATTATGTCACTCAAAAGGTCCAGGTTTAAGAGCTCTTTTATGCTTTGCCTTGTCTTTTAGAGAAGCCTATTGATGTTTACATGCACAGGACACTAAAGTAAAGAAAATCTCAATTATTATTACGAACTACTTGTTTTTACCTTTTTGTAACCGAGTCAATATGGAGGCATGAACATCAATGATAATGGGACAGTGGTGTGCATGTAAACACATGAATGTAACATGAACATTACTTCTGTCTTTTAAACAGGTTTACATATGTTGGCGTGTTATTTTGTGCGGCAGTGTACATGTCAAGTTTGTCTAGTTAGATGTGTTATGGGAAGTGAATATAATCTTGGGACAAATTATCTTTTAATTTAATAATGGGATTGCCAGTGGGTGGGGTTCAACAACAATGTCATGGGTTTACTGCCCTTCAGTTAGAAATCACTTCAAAATATCTTAATTTACTTTAGAAGCCTGAGATCACCGGATGTCATCCCTATTGTCTTGTCCTGGCGAACCCCATGCACTCGGTCCAAGTAAAGCAAAAACCGGTTTTCCCAGTGCGTGCAGTGTATGAAAAACAACAAGTAAGCGTATAAATCTCCTTCTTTCCTCTTCTCTTTTCCTCTCCCCTCCACTCACTCAGCGCGGGATTATGAGATCCAGAGAGACAGGATAGAGTTGGGCCGCTGCATAGGAGAGGGCCAGTTTGGAGATGTACACCAAGGAGTCTATGACAGCCCGGTATGTGGAAAGACACACGTGCACAAACACTCGTCAGCGCTTTGTGTACTGACCAATCATTCATAAGACATGTGTAGCATTTGGTTGTTACTCCATAATCGAGCTAAACATAGTCATTTTAAAAGTATCCTCAGTCTTGCACCCATCCAACAAGCTCAGGGTTCGACAGAAGACAAGACATTTTTGCTTAGATTTAGATGTTTTCGCACACATTACGATCTTAGCTCATAGCTTAAAAAAAATAAATATGCACATCTGATGTGGTACTGCATGTTAGCAGTGTTGAAATGTAATATTATGTGTAGGCGATGTACACTGGTTTCAACCTCCCTTGTTCCTGCATTATGTGTAATGGTCTATCTTGTGCGACTTGTATATGTGCTCTGCAGGACAAACCAGCTCTCGCTGTGGCCATTAAGACCTGTAAGAACTGTACATCCGACAGCGTCAGAGAAAAGTTCCTACAGGAAGCATGTGAGAGCAAACGTTTTTTTTCTGCCTACCTTATTAACAAACCATATGTCAATTCATCCATATTGAATGTGTGTGCTTGTGTGTGTGTGTTTCCCTTGCAGTGACAATGCGTCAGTTTGACCACCCTCACATCGTAAAGCTGATTGGAGTGATCACAGAGAACCCCGTGTGGATCATCATGGAGCTGTGTACTCTGGGAGAGGTACGCCCGAGGCTGCGTACATCACGCGCCGCTCATACATACGGACCGACTAGAGTAGAGCGCGCGTGTGTTTTACTTCTAATGAGCGTACAAAGGAAGTTGTGCGGCGCAAGTCATGACTCGGAAAGGCTGTACTTAGAGATTCCTTATTTAATTTAATTTAACACTCAATTAATAGTTGTTGATGCTTGTAGGTTAGAGATATTTTAGAGAGGTTTTCGCTGTCGTGTTGTAAACTTCAAAAAACTCTCTCTCTCTCTCTCTCTCCCCCATGTTTCCTTTCTCTCTGTCTACAGTTACGCTCCTTCCTTCAGGTGAGGAAGTACAATTTGGACTTGGCCAGTCTCATTTTGTTTGCCCACCAACTCAGCACAGCCCTCGCATACCTGGAGAGTAAACGTTTTGTACACAGGTAGGCACACACACACAAACACACACACACATAAATGCTCAATATAGATGTCTTACAAACTGTGGCCGTATGATTTCATGTACTGAATTGGTATTTATTAGTATTACCTTGACATATCATAGTTTTATTCACCCAGACATTTTACTTATGTAATCCTATGCAGTTAACTTATTGTATTGAGGCTCTGTTGTGCTGCTGCACTGTACATTGCTCACGTTGACCCTGAACAAACATCTATCATTCAGGCCCAATGACAATCAGTATTGAATTCCAGGGACATCGCAGCGCGCAACGTGTTGGTCTCCTCAGTCGACTGCGTGATGCTCGGAGACTTTGGCCTGTCGCGATACATGGAGGACAGTTCTTACTACAAAGGTAAACCAGACTCAAACACACGAGCTGCTTCGTATCGTTTTGTGACACAGAACCATGTTTGCTAATGTTTAAAACATAATCCAATACTGTTGCAACAGTAGCACTTCTAATTTTGTGTATGTGGCCAGATTTGACAGTTTCCAGTACTTTACCGCCACCGTCAGGTTACATCAGGGTGCTGCAGTTTATCTTCACTGTGACTGGGGAAGAAGTGTCTTCTTCTGGTCTCTAACCCTCTGGAACCAAACCGAGTGACAGATGTAATGACTTTGTTTGTCTTTGTATCAGCTTCTAAAGGTAAACTTCCTATCAAATGGATGGCTCCTGAATCCATCAACTTCAGAAGATTCACCTCCGCCAGTGACGTCTGGATGTTTGGTCAGTGCTGATCCATTATGTGGAATTACAGGTCATCAGTGGAAAATTATACTTCCAAAACGTCACCTGAGCAAACCTTTCACAAGAACTCTGTCTGTTCCTCCGTCTCTCCGAAGGGGTGTGCATGTGGGAGATCTTGATGTTCGGCATCAAGCCTTTCCAGGGAGTGAAGAACAACGACGTGATTGGCAGGATAGAGAACGGCGAGCGATTGGCCATGCCTCCTCAGTGCCCGCCCACCCTCTACAGTTTGATGACCAAATGTTGGTCATATGACCCCAGCAAGCGGCCGAGATTCACCGAACTCAAAACACAACTCAAGTAATTAAATGTTTTTACATTGCTTGCGTGTGAATATTTGTAGCACAAAAGTCAATTATACTAACACTAGACGGCAATGCCTTCTTCTTTAAATTGCTCAATGTAGCACACACCCTTTTTGTAAACCTTTGTTGTGAATGATTTAATAACTGTCTTGCTTTACCACGTGATTTCACATACTGATAACTGATAATGATTATTTCCCATTAATAATTTTTACACCTTGGTTTAGTTACGATTGCATCAAGGTTCATCAATCAATTTTCCGGTGCTGAGAAACAGGTTTTTTTTTCCTCGTTGAACCACCGATTCAGAGGAAGGAGAAGATGATTTAGTAAGATGAGTTCTCTGTGTGTTACCTTTGTAGCACCATACTGGAGGAAGAAAAGCTTCAACAAGAGGAGAGACTTCGAATGGAGATGAGGAGACAAATCACCGTGTCCTGGGACTCTGGAGGGTCTGATGAAGCACCTCCCAAAGTACGACTGATATGATGGTTCTTCTATTTATTTCACTATGTTTTTGACCTGGCCGATAAAGACACACCATTCTCTTTCTGCCTGCAGCCCAGCAGACCAGGTTACCCAAGTCCTCGTTCCAGTGAAGGCTTCTTTACCGGCCCCCCAGTCAACCACTTCCCGGTACAGATAACATACACATACAGAATACACACTCACACACACACACACACACACAGACAAAACCCTCAACTTCTAAAGGTATACGATTATGGTGAAATGCACTGGTCTTTGGTTGTGTGTGTTAAGTGTTACTTAAGAACCTATTTCTAATGGTTCTGTGAGTTCACCACTGCGAAACACTTCCTGTTTGTCCCTCTAGCTGTGCAGTACGTATGGATAGCATTTACTTCCTCATTTTTATTGACGGTTGTTCAGAGAGCATTTGATCAAATCTTTGTAATTAGGGAGTTTTCAAGAACGGTGCATTATTCACATGCCAATCATCACAATAACTGCCAATCCAGTAATGTCAGTGTTGAGTCTGAGTCAACTCGGAAGAGAGACACTACGCGTGAGCTGCATGTGTCACCAAGTCAACGAGAGAAATGTGAAAAAAAACGAAAGAGCCTTTCAGTGCAATTATTCCCCTTCTCATAAAGCGAGCAGACAGCAGGCATTTCCTGTAGACAGACACACACACACACACACACACAGATCAAAGCCACTCTCCAGCTCAAATGACAACGAGCAGCTCTCTCTCTGGTCCTTATAAGGAGTGTATAATCACAAGGGCTATACATGTCAAACTTGATGATATCACACGAGAATACCATCTGTATATTATGGCAGCATGTATTACTCATCAGACTGAGAGCAGCTGAAGTGCTAAACAAGAACTACCATCGCTATTTGAACAGGAACCGTTATTATTCGGAATACTCACTAAGTCATAGTGGGATTGATATTATTTCCTAATGATTTATAAATGATTCACTCTGCTTCACAAACCTTTTCTATGAGTGTATTTGAAATGTGAGTTTCTCCTCCACTCGTCCATTTGTCACTAGTTTGTTTGGCAACATTGAGTTTTATCGAAGCAATACTCTGTGTTGTGATCCAGACAGGGAGGTAAAAAACCCTTTGATACATTCTTCATAGACCAATCAGTCTCATGTGACCTCATGTGTATACGTTCTCATGCACTCCAAAAATTCCCTTTTGCATTTATTTTGCTTCAATCCTCTTGAGTCTTTTTTTGTATCTCCAAAGCCAGCTTGTGTTTTTCTTTTTCCAACTATATTTTTGAAACAAAATATATCTAAAATATGTATGCTTTGTACCATATAAAGGTAATTTGGAGTAAACCGTGGCAAATTTGTCAGATTTGGGTGTTGTGTTATCAAACCGATTATTAACCATGTTTAATACTTCTCTTTCTCTGTTTGCCCCTGTTTCTGTCTGTCCACCTCCAGCCCTCGGCCCATGGTGTCGTAGTAGGAGGAGGAGGGGGCAGCTACCCTGCTGTTGATTCCTGGAGTCAACACCGACCTGAACACACTGCCCTGTGGAGCCAGAACATGGAGGTGTGCACTCTCAGCCATGACGCACACTTGACAGGGAAAACACACTGATGTGTGTATGTGTGAATCATATAATGATGAGTGAGATGATCGTTTTGCTGACTACTTGTATTTTCCACAGGACGATGGCTGTGTAGGCCAGGCTGTGATGGAGGAGAGGCTGATGATGCAGCAACAACAGATGGAGGATGACCAGCGGTGGCTGGAGCAGGAGGAGAGCTTCATGGTTATGGTGATGATTTTCATTTACTAGCTACATTTTTCAGTTTCTCATGTGGACCATTTGCATATTACGAGAGACCATCCGGTCTATGAACACATGTGCCTGAGTCTGACCAACAAATTCTGCATCTCGGGCAACTAGACAGCTAACCAGACTACCGTTAGCTGCCATGATCCTCCTCAGAGTGGTTTGTTTTTCTTGGTGAGGCTGTGTGAGGGGCTCTCCCACTCAGACCTCTTAATGCATATTGTTTCTGCCAGATGAGCTCAAGAATATCTTGTTCAGATCTTTGAGCTGGCTCCGCTGTACTTGATTCCTCTCATCAGACACTGAAACATCCAAAAAATGGAGCCAAATCACTACCTTTGGCAAAACAAGTTTATTTTTCTCTTCTGGTCTTGAATCACAGTTTAAATGTTTGGACCAGGTTTGGTAGAGTTGAAAGAAAAACACAGAGACGAGCAAAGGGAATTATTTACTACCTCACCCAGAGGTTACCAGATAACATCTCAGCAATTCAGTTTGCAGGATGTCCAGCTCTTTTTTCCCCCCTGGCCTGTATGTTAATTTGATTCAACCGTTCCGTAGATTTTGCATTAATGCTAAGCAGACAAAGTAGGGAGTTGGCTTCATGCACCAACTGTTCTTCCGATAACTCTTTAGTGAAAATCTGTGTAGCTGAAGGCTAATCCATCACAAGAACTGACGATACTAGAAGGAGTTTTTAGACATAAAGACAAACTCCTCCAAGAGCAAATGGATTATTAGGATCCTTAGTACAACTGTAAAAACCTGTGTCAATATCTTTAAACTGCTATGAAAATGAAATCATATCAGTGACTTGCTGAAGTTTTTGATCAAATTAAAGGAGGATGAAACTGAGTAATATGAGAGGCCCGAAAATAAAGAGATGGAAATTTGTGAGGACAGAAGGAGGCAGAAAGGAAGTGGGATTGGCAGGAGCCACGGAGAGGTTGGAACAACAAACAAGGAGTCACCCGTCAGAGAGGGAGAAAGAGAAACCGGGAGATGCTGGGACATGGAAAAAGTGGGAGGGAGAAACAAAGAGGAGAGGGAGTTGTTGGATCTCTGTTCTGTGCCTCAGTGGAGCTTTTCCTCCTCTTTCTTTCTCTTTCTGTCTTTCCTTCTCCTCCCATTCTCCTCTGACTCAACTTTTCTGTCTTCCCGTTCATTTCCTTCAGTCTCTTCTTGGACGCTCTCTCTTCTGCTCTGCATGTCCTAAGCCTCTCACCGCTGGCGTCTGCCATTCTCCTACTTTCTGTCCTCATCTCGGCCACTCTCTCGATGGCCTCCGCTCTCTGCTTTCCTCCTCCTGTCTTCTTCAGCCTCTCTTCTCCCAGGATGCATCTCTTCAAGGCGTGCTTCACCAAAACGGTAGTGAAACGGTTGCCGGCTTGTTAGGGTTTCGGTGGTGTAAATGTTTTGATTTCCTGTAGGTTATGTGTTTTAATCTTCTGCTCTTCTTCTCTTCTGACTTGATGATGGTGATGATCATTTGTTTTAAAGGAGTGTTGATGGAAAAACTATCGTAGGTCGTGGTTCTAGTGGAATATCAATTCTGCTTAATAATTTCTCTGGTTAATTGTCTATTCTCTTTTAAAATTGTGTTTTGTTTGGAAGAAATGACTCCAGCGTTGAGTATATTGGTTTATGTAGCCTGCAGGTGACAAAGTCTTTTACAAATGTTTTTCTTCTGTTTCTTGGTCCCTAAACTAGAAACGAAAATCTTGGAAATGTAACATTCCTCCTAGGTATGTTTAGGTTTTTATGTTTTAAATGTTTGTTTCTGTCTCTTCCCCACAGAAGGCAGAGTCCAGAAACAGCAGAGGAAGCATTGACCGAGAAGACGGCTCACTACAAGCACCGGTCAGTCATCAGTGTGTCTCTCTGTATTTGTCTGTTGACATTGTATTTGAAAATCGGCTGCTAACCAACCTCCACGCACTGATGGAGCGAGGAATGTTATGGTAAAAAGGGAAAGCGAGTGTAAAGGGAAAATGCTAAAAAAGAGAGGAAGCAAGGAGTGGAAAAAGTAAAAAAAAAAAAAAAAGGAGGACAAAAGTAGCAGAAAGAAGAGAAAGCTACAAAACAAAGTGGCGAGGGAGGCTGAGGAGGAAATACAGAGGCCAGGAGAAGTAGAGAAAGTATTTCTGTCTGTGTGCCAGGGAGGTACTGCCCACCCAGCAACCACATGACCACAGAGAGCTCAGGGGAGCTATCGGACCCAGACGCACTGCACGGTCCCATTGGACCTTTATATGTTCTAAACCTTCACAATGACTTTAGCTTTCCCACTATGCATCAACAGCTATGAATGCAGCGTATGGTGTACGTTTGTTGAAATAAGTATTATTGCAAAGTATATCCTCTTGTTCAAAGGGGTTTTCTTCTTTTAAAGAGTGTTTACTGATTATGGACAACTGGCAGTTCAACCAATGTGTGCGTGTCTGTGTGTGCATGATTTTCTCTGCCAGTGTGGAAACCAACATATTTACCAGCCGGTCGGGAAACCAGGTGAGCGGACAACGATTTAGACACAATATTTGTTAACACACTAAAACCATACTGTTAAAAATATATGTTCTGTTTCAAAGAAACCACAAAGTATCAGCTAAAACAGCTAATGTACAGATTTTTAAAAGTAGTATTATTATTTACTGTTGCTCCTACATTATATTACATTATATTGTGTTTTGAAATAAATTGTACCTAATCCTGCTCCAACAGTTGAAGGATGCTTACATGTAAAGACGTTTAGAGACTGTTGGGGGGTTTTAGCTTATTATTCATAAAATAATCTAGTTATAAATATGTTTATCTCAAGATGAGGAACAAAGCATTTTCACCAAAACAGCACAGGTAATTAAAGTATGTTTAATCATAGAATAGAAGAATAGTTGCATTAAATAAAATAAAATACAATAGTGCCCTAGATTATATGATAGTAGTAGTTGATGTACTACACACATTGGTAGCATGCATCATACTACTTTACACATCTTACCTTCCTCCTTCTTTTTTTCAGAGCACGTGGCTCCTCCTAAGAAACCGCCGCGCCCCGGAGCTCCTTGTCACCTCGGCAACCTGGCCAGTCTTTGCCCCGTTGACAGCTACAACGAGGGTGTAAAGGTACATTTGCACGCATGACAGAAAAGTAAAGCTCATTTCTAAAATACAGGATGTGTTCCCCAGTTTAGAAATGTGCAGATTTAATTTGAGATTATTCAGATTATTTTTTTATTGAACATAAATCCTTCCTGTTTGAGTTCTCTTCACTATTCAAAGTTTTGCTGCTGGGTTGCATGCTGTGCGTTGCCTTGCCTGTGGTTGGCTTTGGCCTAATGTTCTGCCCCTCTTCTCTCCCCCTTCACGCCCCCCTCCCCTCTCCCCCATTTCTCATTAACGTTCATCCATATTTTTGCCTGCAACACCATCTTCTGATCCCTGATCCTGCTTGTATCTTGACCTTGTACTCTGCATCCATCTATTCACCCATCAATCTGTCAAACCTGTGCCCCCCTCCTCCCAACCCGCTGCACACCTCACCCCCCCCACTCCTCCATCAAACCCACATCCACCCAACCACACCTCTCTCCCATCTCCTCAACCTCCCCATAGCCGTGGAGGGTAAGCTGATCTTTGTGTTTGTCTGTATTCACCATAGAGATAGTTAGATCGTAGTTAAGTTTCATCGTGTGTAGAGAAGCTTTGTGAAGCTTCATGAGTTGTAGTTCGAATATGTTTTTGTTTACCAGCGACACAACAAAATGTCACCATCGGCATGACAAACAAAACTTTTAAAAGTTCATTCTTGACCCGGCAACAGTATTTGTGACAAAATAATCTCACATGGGGCTCTCACATTCATCTCTATGAGGTGTGGTTGAAAGCTCCAAAACATTCACCCTGGGACTCTTTTGGCACAAACAGAAGTAGAAAGTAAACTGAACTACTCCCCATTCGAGGCCATGTCTACTACGAACCATGTGTCATTTAGATGCCTATGGGCAGGAAGGAGTCATATCCAGTGTTGTGAACAATATCCCTGGTAAATAAAAATAACAGTAGTGCTTTTTGTGAGATGAATAGAAGCATTGTAACCTGATCCCTGTTTGTCTCTCATTGCGTCTGTCCGTCGATAATATAGTGAAATGAATGCTGGTGAACATGCTCAATTCAAAATGCAGAGCAGCTCTGCTGCCTCCACACTGCTCTCAACCAGCCACCGGTGCTGACGGTGTTCACCGTGCTCACCATGATCCAAGTCGTTTGAGAGGCATTTGATTCAACATGTGAAACTATACTCAATGCAGGTGTAACGTTGAGTCCATCTCTAGAACCCCCCCCCCCCCCCCCCGTCTGTCCTGGGCTAACAGGCCAACAAAATCCCGTGGCCCGGTAGGGTAGTCAGAACATCTAGTGTGTTTGGTAGAAATGCATGTGGATGGAAAGGTCCCTCTGCGTGTCTGTGTGTGTTTTAAAATCTATTCGTATAGCGCCCCCCAGTGTTCAGAGACACTCTCTAAAAAGAAACTTTGAGCAACGGATGTTTGTAGTGGCTCCTTGTAACGGTCCTACTCTCCTTGGTGGTCCAGCTGCAGCCTCAGGAGATCAGCCCGCCCCCCACGGCCAACTTGGATCGCTCTAACGACAAAGTGTATGAGAACGTGACGGGATTGGTCAAAGCTGTGATCGAGATGTCCAACAGGATCCAGCCCGCGGCCCCGGAGGAGTACGTCCCCATGGTCAAGGTAGGATCGATAATGCCTGGCAGATATTCCATCTCTGTGGCACATTTCAATACTGAACAAGTTCAATATCCACCATCAACAGATTTTAAAGTGCATATTAACTGGCTGGTGCAAAGAATAAATGTGTGTGTGTGTGTGTGTTTGGTAGGAGGTGGGTCTGGCACTGAGGACTCTGCTTGCGACAGTGGACGAGACACTTCCTGTTCTGCCCGCCAGCACACACAGAGAGGTGAACACACAGACGCACACAGTTCAGCACTTTAATATACGTTCCTTCAGCAATTTCAAATCGGGTGTCGGGTGACACACAGGTGAGTTTGGACCCCGGCTCAGTGACCAGGAAGAAGCTTTGTTTCTCTTTGGTCCTGTGCGATGACGTGTGTCATTCCGTTTGTGTGGTCACAGATCGAGATGGCCCAGAAGCTGTTGAATTCCGATCTGGCCGAGTTAATAGCGAAGATGAAGCTGGCCCAACAGTACGTGATGACGAGGTGGGTACGAATGCGACAGCGATATGTTTTACCGCTAACCAAGTACTGCTGACTCAACGGCCCTTGTTTTCTGTGTTGTGGACAGTTTACAAAAGGACTACAAGAAACAGATGTTGATGGCGGCTCACGCCCTCGCAGTCGATGCCAAGAACCTGCTGGACGTCATCGACCAATCACGACTCAAGATGATCCGCCCGCATTAGCGTGCGTCGCTGTGGAGATTGAGCGTGCGGCAGCTTGTTGCCAATCACAACGAGAAGAGGGCACTCAGGCCAATGACGGACGGACAGACGGATTAATCAGTGAACCGACGGGTAGCAGACACGACAGACCGAAGCAGTCGGCTCCCTCATCTCCGCCTTCAAACACTCAGCGTTTGTCTTCGCTCGCTGGCGGCGGGCACGTTTTTCTCAATATTGTGATGTTTTGTACTTTTGTTGCATTATTTGCTTTTGTATCCAGAGAAACGCTTTTTTGTCTTCCATCACGTATCCTCAAAGATGAGGTTGGTTTTTTTGGAATCCTTCGTTACTACTCTTTTGAAGAGAGTGAATCAAAAGTTTCAGAGGCTCGCTTTGAAGGACTGCAGAGATCCTGCAGGTGTTTGGAGGCTCCAAAATGTGCCGCATGAACCCGACTAACAGTCTTCGCGCAGGATGTAACAACTGGAATTGAAGAGCCAGGACGTGAATAATGAGGATGATATGATAATGTTGCTGTTCAAACATGCTTTTATATCATTATTAATTACTACTATTACTATTTTCAGCTTTTCCTCTGACAGTATGTCCCTGTTCAGTCTTCCTCTTTTTCCTTTTTTCATTCAACGGGCAAAAGTAAGTGACTTACAGCTGCTCGTCAATAACACTCTGTAGACCTCTATCTCTGGCACGGTGAGATGAAATGAAATGAAATATGAAATCTGTTTTGGGAAGAACAAAGTCAATGTCACAGGCCACTTTTTAAGTTAACTTGCATAGTAAATATACATAGAGGCTATATTTTTAACACGTTTCTGAGGCATGAGTTGTTCGTAAATAAAGGAGACGGATGAGTTTGGGGTGCAGTTACAGAAGTGTGAGAGGTCGGGTGAGGTTGTTACAAAGGTGGTCCTAGTTATGTACAGCTGGGAACCTCGTGCTAAATGTAAAACAATTGACAAAAAGGATTATGTCCTGGAAATCATTTTGTTTTGTTCAAAATTCCAAAATTCATGGATACTTTATTGCTGTCTTTTTTACATTGAAGCCAAATTCTGTTATGTTGCAGGTTCCTTCTATTCTATCCTTCTCACAAGTATTCACTCAACAAGATGCTTTTGAGAACATCAAAATACTTTTTTGGGAATAAAGATTGTTTCCTATTTAGAATAGAAGAGAGTTCGGTGGCCCAAATAGAGTACAGGTCTCGTTCATTTATCTTGTCCTACATGATTCCTTTATTTCCTCCTCTGTCTTCCCACTGCCCTCCACTGGAGTTATTTATACATTATTCCCTCCCTTCAGCCTCCTGTTGCTCTCCTCCCTCTCTGATTCTCTCTCCATTCCACCGTTCCTTCTCCTCTGAGGTGAGCAATATTCTCAGGAAGGAGTCACATGTACAGTTGCTAAACCAAGCAAATAAAAACACTGTTATCATTAAAATCTGTGTGAGATCATTTTATACAGAAATCAAACAAGAAGAATATGACTTGGTTTTTGGGGATTAGTTTTATTGTGATTTTATTTAATTACCCTTTAGCAGTAGCAGGTTATATATGCGTAATAAATATGTACAGAATACAGTGTTACTTTCTTACATTATATTCCAATATTGCATTTAGAATTTTCTCCTGGCTGGCACATGAATTTGGCGGTTTCCTTTTTTACATGAGAAGATATTTCCATCTCTAATTGGTGCATACAAATAAAAATGGATTTTATATTTCCAGACACCTACTTAACAAACCCTTTTCACAGCAGCCGTTTTGACATTTGCGTGATTGATCAAATTGTCACAGCCAGCCTGCACAATACATCAGGGATTTAGAACAGCCACGATTACCGTTATCAATTATACCTTTGTCTGAACGACAAAGGGCCTATTTGAGGGGGGGGGGGGTTTCCCTCCCGGCATTATTTCCATAAGGCATTGATGTTTTTGTTTTTTGGTCATGTCACACAGTTAGACCTGGTGTTTTGCTAACAATGGCTGTATTTTTTTGTGTAGCTTTAGACATTTTCTCACTTTGTCAAACTTTTGCTTTCAGCCACTGTCACTGAAAGCAGAGCACTTTTACTTGTATTCCCTTACCAATATATAATAAATCATTGGCCAGTAGTTCTCACTTCTGGAGCTTTTTGTTTGAGTGAAAGAGCTTCCTCCCACCTAACAAAAAAAATCCATAAAGTGTTTCAAAAAGAGTTCATGGCGGCATGGTGGCGTGGTGGTTAGCACTGTTGCCTCACAGCAAGAAGGTCCTGGGTTCGATTCCGCCCAGCTTTTCTGTGTGGAGTCTGCATGTTCTCCCCGTGTCTGCGTGGGTTCTCTCTGGGTTCTCCGGCTTCCTCCCACAGTCCAAAGACATGCTCTGGGGATCAGGTTAATTGGGGACTTTAAATTGCCTGTAGTTGTGTGAATGGTTGAGTGTGAATGGTTGTGTGTCTCTGTGTAGCCCTGCGATTGGCTGGCGACCAATCCAGGATGTACCCTGTCTATCGCCCCGAAGTTGGCTGGGATGGACTCCAGCCCCCCCGCGACCCTGCGTGCAGGATAAGCGGTTTGACGATGGATGGATGGAAAAAGAGTTCATGTATTGGTGTTAATTGCTTTCTGTTTTTCTTGCTGTTATATATACATGTTTCACCCAGCATTCCCATCACTTAGGAATCACCACAGAGCTGTAATCTAACATCCCAAATAATATTATATAGGTGGAGGCTTCAAATAATCCTCTTTCTGCACAGTGAGCTTCATTTATTTCTACTATGCTTATTGTTTATCATCCATTGCTTGAATTGTGGATGCCATCAAATTATTTTTAATGAATATATTCCAGCCTTTTTGATGTGATGCTGCCACTAGATGGCAGCGCCGCGCCACTTATCATGTACCAATGATCCCAAACTTTCATTCATCGCCTTCATCCTCACGTAGGGCGACCAGACGTCCTCTTTTCCCCGGACATGTCCTCTTTTTGAGACCTAAAGAATGCGTCCGGCAGGGATTCCAAAAACGTCCGGGATTTTGCTTCGTCGGATATTTGTGTTTCTCCGGGTCTTTCACGAAATAGTTATTACGCCCTCACAAGTTTTGGAAATGGTGTCTCCATTACGTTCCACCTTCTTGCGCGAGCTCTGACTGTAGAGAGAACAGTCATCGGTCGACCGATCTCGACCGGCCCGGTGGTTGGGGACCACTGCTCTATTTCACAAACTCAAATCTGGTCACCCTAGAATCACCGCAACATTAAACCTTAACGGGTTCTGCTAAAGACGTGTGTTCGGGCTTCTCTCAACATGGAGAACGTTGAGAAGGATCCAAAAGAGGAGCGTGAACCTGCTCTCTTGGCCCAAAATCAAGAGCCCGCGAGCACGTAAGTTTGATAAGTTACCGGAAAGTTGATAAGTTACTGTGATAATTCGCTTGGATTTACAGTAAATTGATTAGCTACATATGGATTGATTGATTTATTGAACTATTGAATATATCTTGTGTGCTATATCATTATTTTAGAAGTTTAAAAAGAAACCACGTCCACGTTTGTAAGTTTACCACCGATATTATAAAATCATTTTCCAACGTCTTTCCAACGGCTGTCCAAGTATTCACCGCCAGGCGGAGTAACGTGTTTTTGTCGAAGACGACCTAGAGAGTCACGTCTTTGTGTGTGGAAGTCGTTGGTGACTTTATCTATGTTCTTCATAGATTTATTCATCATAGACAAAAGTTCTTCAACCTGGTCCCTTCTCTCTCAGAAGCATAAACTAGACTTTCAGACCTCATTTCAACCCGATTTCAACCATATTTCAACGTTGAAATTACGTCTTGTGCTCACTGGGTAACTTCTCCCCCAGGGTCTCCACACAGGATATTGAAGAAGACCCCAATACGCAGACCCATGAGACGTTTAATGAGGCTCCTTCAGAGAGCCAAGAGGAGGAGGAGGAGAAGGAGGCGGGAGAGGAAAGTGAAAAGGTTTGTTTAATTTTCGCCGTTTCAGGCCATGATATCAAGGGATACTTGGATCCTTCAAAAAGAACTACTGGTTATGAAGTTGTTGTACGGTTGACCTGTTGACCATGATGGCAGCAGCTATGTGCTGCTATCATAGTAGACAAGCAAAACCTGCTGAATGACCAGGTGCATCCATCCACCCCCCACCCCTCCATCCATCCATCCATCCACCCGCCAGGCCTCGTCCATTCTTAAGTTAATCCCCCTTTGTGTTGTCTAAATGATCATTTTGTAAAGGACCTGAGGAAGCAGGAAGAGAATAAGGACCTGTCTATGGACAGTTTTGAGAAGGGGATCCAAGCTCTGACTCTGTCCTACGAGGAGGAGCTGGTCCATGTTTTGGTAGGACCCGAATCTCAGTCAAGGAGCTGCTATAAATCATTTGCTTTACGTAATTTCTCACTGAAGTCTCTATAGTGAGTAATGGGACGTATCGCGCCAGTGAGCAACAGAGAATTAATTTAATTTAATTCATAATTGTATCTTTCTGCTAGCAGCATGGCTCGATGAACAGCAAATATCCCCTGACTTTTCCTTTCGAGTCCCACGATGACGTGCACAGTTTGGATTTTGAGTAAAATATCTCCAAAAGAGTATTTGATAGATTTCCATCCAATTTGGTAAAGAACGTTAATAACCCCTCCATGATTAATCTGATTAATATTATTTCCACTAAGCGTGGTCATCAGATCAAGTGTGTCATTTTCCAGCACTTGGTTTCTATATAAATATCTGCAAAACTAACTCTTCAGTGTCAGATGTGCTTTGTGTTTCGAATGTCATGACAGTGTTACATGTTAAACATTAAAGTGCTTAACCTTAGTTTATTAGCAGCATGTCAGCATGCTAACCGTAGCATGGCTGCAGACTCTTCTCCGTCTCGTTGATGTCGTTGGTGTCCTTCCCATTAATTGTGTGTAGGGATTCAATCAGCAGGCGACAGAAGTCTTTCTTACAAAAGAGCCGGCTGACTGGCAACGCTTGAAGTTACTTGGTGACCAAGAAAAACTGAATCAACAACACGCGTTCACACATGCAGTCGACCTCGTCTCCTTTCAGTCTTCTTATCTTTTATCAAGTCTGTATCTAATGATATCTAAACTTTTTTTTTTTTAGCATGGGGGGTTGATGCAGTGGAAGAAAACCGTGGAGGAGTGTGAAGCAAATGTTCGCAGTCAGATGTGGGAGACTGTTGAAAAGGACAGGTGTGACATGACAGAACTGACTGCAACCTCTCAGGTTTGTCCAAATACCGAGATGGACACCAACAGCTTCTCCTTTTGAATGAAACCTTTGGCATATGAGCTTCATTTTTATTTTAAAAAAAAAGAGAAAATGCTCCGGATGACACCACCATTTTCCTTTGGTGTTGATCTAAATTGGATTCATCCTCATTGACCAGAATAGAAGTTACAAATGACATAAGTTTTGAGTGGGCGAACATTCCAGTCTTGCCTCTACAGGCTCAGAAGAGTAACAAACAAAAGATGAAGGCGAAAAAAGGGACTTTTCAACCGCCGGAGCCAGAGGTTCCCCCGGTGGAGCTCAGACGAGATCTGAACCGCATGGAGAAAAGGGTCGGCAGGTAGTGCAGATTCGTTCCTCCTGCGCTCGTTTAAAAAAAAACACCCTGAGCATGTCTAAGGACCACAAACGCAGCATCGAGAAATCTGAAAACGTCAAGAAGCAGTACGTGTGAAGCAACGCTGACGTGCTGCGGGCCTACATCTCGAACCCTTCTTCTCTCCATCCGCTTAACGCAGGCACTTTGCGCTCGCTGATGCCAGACAGCACGAGGAGCTCTCTCTGGGAGGGGCGGGCCGGCTTCACGTCGGGTGGCGAGCTGCGGCGTGGGGTCAGAAGACCACGGACTTCTCAGTCGGGCCGAGGGCCGAGAGCCGAGGGGCAACCGGCGAGGCGGAGGAAGGGAAGATCTCTGCGGTGACGCTGAAAGAAGTGCTGTGTGACAAGGCGGTGAGACACCAGTTCATTGGTAATGTCTGTTGTTGGAAAAATGTTTATGAAGCAGATGTAGAGAAGCCAAGTATTTAAAAAGTAATACATTCATATCATTAAAAGTAGTAACACCTTTACGAGCACGCAGTATATGAAAGGAAATTTAGATATTAGGAACTACTCTTTAGTTAAATAATTAAAAAAGATCAATATTTCAGTCCGTGGTTTGAGTCTCTTCCCTGTGAGAGCAGACGCCTCCTGAAAAGCCTGGCTCATAAACCCCAAAGCGCAACGTGCCGGGTTTTACGGGTTTGACCAACACAAGCCACATTTAACATGTTCATTTGTGAGCTTACAAAACGCGCAACTGTCACAGGAGCCCATAGGAATTTTGCAACAGGTTCGGCTGCTCTCAGAACTCTTATTTGATGATCTACGAGGTCACGTGACACGCATCTTATACGTCCTTCCCGGCACCTCAGGGCTTCCTGGTGGAGGATACACTGCTGAAAGGGCTGGTTTCCCTGGAGGAGGAGGAACAGACCGTTGTGAAGATGGCCTCTCTGCTTTGTGTGAGTCCACGCGCCGCCATGCATCGCTGCAACGTGTCGATCAAGCGCCGAACAACCAGCCGCACCGCTTTCTCTTCCAGACGTTCGGCCTTGAAGACAAGCACGTGCCCAAGTTGGCGCTGTTCATATTGAAGTACAAACCTCAGCAGAAGGCAGAGGGAGCGGAGACCGAGTCTGCGACTCATTTGACCTCTGAACTCATCGATCCTAACCATGTCATGCCTGCTCTAAAAGTGTTCCTCGAGCAGCACTCGAAGTCCAGGTGAGACCTTCGCAGTGATTTAAACAGATTACTCTGCGTCGGCACAGCAACAGAGGCTGTGTTGTGCTTGTTAATTGACCGTCTTTTTGTTTTGACGGTCAATTATGATACAACAGTCTTTCTTTCCCTCTGAATATGCAATGCTTTCTTTTTCCTGGTGTTACAAGGGGAGAGCTCAGCCAGCCTGAAAGAAATATCCTCCGACACTTCAGAGGATGAAGCCTACTGGGAAAGAATGAGCAATATAATCCCTGAAGAGTGAAACCCGCAGAGTAATCACTAAGACAAATCACTGTTACACACACACACACACACAGCAACCTCTGAACTCAAATGTTTTGTGTTTTTTGTGTTTCCAGGGCGGTCGTGAAAGACCTCTCGGAGGTCTTCAGCGTTTGGAGGAGAGAGACAGCCTTTCCCAAAGCTGTGGTATAGAAAACAGTATGGCTAATGTTTTAAGGGTTGATATTCCCTGTAATTTTTATTTTCAAATGTTAACTATATAGTTAGTGCGATGCTATGGGTTTTATTCAGTTGTGTTATACTAGAGCAAGGAGATGTATACTTTTTATATCACATTACACATTTTGTTGGCATACTTTGATATGAATGGCATTCTGTTGTCACATACTATACAATTAATTTGACTGTAATCACAAAAAATATTGCCATTTTTTTTTAAAGGTTTTATGACACCATACCCTAAGATTGTTTATAGAAGTACTAAAACCGACATTCAACACTACTTATATTCTGTAACTAGCTACCTTATTTTGAAGTTCATATAACCTGTTTAAACAAACTCATTTTTCCCCCAATAAAACGACTGAAACTTAGATGTGCCATGAAAATTCAGTTTTTGATGTGGGTGAAATAGTTTGATAAAAACAAACATTTGGGTCTGTGACTAAGGGCATCAGATCGTCATAAAATAGCTGAACTTGACACCCTCAACCAGGTGAAAATGAGGAACATGCACTGTATTCTCAATAGGGGCCAGCATCAGTGGAGCGAGCTACGGGTCCTACAAGAAAACACACAGAAGTAATAGTGGGGCAAATGCAAAGTGGATCACGAGTCTTTAGTCTCCTCTGAGCTGGACTCAAGAGGACGCAGACAAATCAGGGAGAGTTTAAAACATGATTCAATGTTTTGTCCTTGTAACTAATCATAAAAGCAGAGTTTTGACTAATTATTAAAGCAAAGCACTGCAGCACGCTGACCAAAGCTGTAACATGTTTGAATGCATCAGTAGTGAAAGGGGAGGTTAGTTTCTGCACCAGAGGCAGAAGCTGGTGGACAACAGACAAGACATGGTAGGAGTCCTTTTTTATTTTTTACTTTTTATTGTGTTTTCTTACAAAAACATCTTTTAATCAAAAAGCCCGAAGCCCATGTCATCGTCGGACTCCTCGGACTCCTCTTTCTTCTCTTCCTTCTTCTTCTCCTCCTCCTTGGCTGTAGGTAAACGAGACACGGCATGGTTAACAGAGTCCTAGAGCAGACAAACTACGGCTTTTCACATCAAGCCCATGTAAAAACACACTCCCCGTTAACTCTAACCACTAGTTACCTGGGGCGTCACCAGCACTGGCAGCTGCTCCGGCAGCGGCGGGGGCACCAGCCGGCGCGCCGCCTCCAGCGCCAACGTTGCAGATCAGGCTGCCGATGTCGACGCTGGACAGAGCCTACGGGGGGACGACAACACGTACAGGTCAGTGACGAGTGATGCACGGACCAACGCCATCGGTCTCATGTCGGCGAACGCATTCTGCAGTCTCTACCGGCGCAACAGTCCGGTTTGTCGTCATTCGGAATACTTTGGTCACTTTAGCTATTCGGAAAGTGACAGCCATCCTCCATCCCATCGACGTGTCCACAGTGGACTCTCAGCCCGGAGCGTTTCTCTCACCTTGGCAAACAGACTTGGCCAGAAAGGCTCCACGGTGACTCCTGCAGCCTTGATCAGAGCATTCAGCTTGTCCTCCTGCAGACAAACACATCAACAGTTAATACGTGTACTCCTTTCCTGCTTAAAGAATTTACTTTAAGAAGTATGCAAAACGGAAACAACAAGTTGGCAGAAAGAGTCTTGTCCCGTTTAAACATCTTGGAGTTAAGGAAGCTGCAGCTGTTTTAGTACTTCAGACCTTCAGCACACCGCATGCTAGTCTTATAGAATATAACGTGCAATTAACCTGCCGGGTTATTCTCGGATACAAGCGGACAAACTAGAGTGGTGTCGAGCCACAGCGCCGAACTAAACCACCGGACCGGTTCCCGGTAACGAGTTACTCCTCCCGCGTCAACATGCGGTGATGTTGCGGAGATTCAGAATTCAACGTAACGTCAGCTGTCACGAGTAGGAGACGTGGTGAGTAACAAACTCCAGCCAGATGTCACAACGCAGACCTGTCAAGAAATGTCCCGGTACAGAAACGTGGCCCAGCATCACCAAGCCGCCATTTTGGCCGGTAGATGGCACTTTTTGAGCGCCTAAACAGCTTTATTGCATTTTAAACAGAAATATGAATGTACGTTCACCTTAAGAGTCTTTATTATCACACCCTAATCGTGCAGGCCTTTTTTTTTTTACCATAGCACACTATTTCCAAGGGTGCAGCGAAAGCGTATTGGCGGAGATGTCCGGTATAAGCCGGGGCACTTACGGTGACGGTAACTTCATCGTCGTGGAGGATCAGAGCGGAGTAAATGCAGGCGAGCTCGGATACGGAGGCCATTTTAGATGCTGGATTTTATCTTCGTTGCGGTGGATGCCTAAATTTGACGGTGCTAGTCGCCGGATTGTGGGCCTTAGCTTCTGGTGAAGAACCGAGCACCTTAGGCACGTTAGTTTCCTGTAGCGGAAAAGGGAAGGAGCGGGGCGGGCACTAGCTTTATATAAGCGGCGTCAGTGCTTCCGGGGTCTGACGCCAGCACGCACATTGCGTGACGTCAGACGTCACCAATTGATCCGTATTCATATTGTCTAGCTTAATTTTCTACATTTAGATTGTTTTGCTAAATTAAATATTAGTCAAAAGTATTTTGTAATATTTTTCATTACAAACAGGTGTCAATTCAGTCCCTTTATTTATCTTGTAATATATATACACAATTATTACATAGGTAAAATGTTTTAGCTGGATAGTTTGAGTTAGTTGTAGCAAAAATACATCCAGATGTATACATGTAGATCACTCTGCACAACCTCTAGAGGTACCATATATTGCTTCTGTGGGTGCTTTGTGTAGTTCCTGCTCACTGAAAAGCCCAAACTGTAAAGAAAACGTACAAAAGAAACATGTCAAGAGGTTTTAAATCCATTGTGAACAAAATGTTCAGTTGACAATTTTATTTAAATCAATCAAAAGCACAATCATTACAATAAATAAATGCATTTTAAGGCAATTTTCTGGAAAACCTTGCCTGTTCTTATTTACACAGGAACAGAAAAAAAACAGTGCTGGATCTTGTGCACATACCGAATATATCGTAATATTAATAAAGAGTTATCAAACAACAAAAATAACAGAACAATGGCAGAAAAATCAAGATGTGACTGTAAATCCAAATGTAGTAATACTTTCCTCAAGTCCTACCATTATGTTGCCTTCATAATGTTGGTGATGGATCATTTATGCTGAACATAAAAAGCTTTGTAGAATCATTCTCACATTTGGCACCAACTAATTTTCTCGGCCCTGATATGGAAAAAATACTCAAGCAGGTAAGATAACAAAACTAGAGTGGATGGAGAGGACAGTTTGGCTTTGATGAGTATCCTCCTTTGTTACAGTGGAATGAAAGTCAGTATATTTTAACATGCTGCAGCCATCATATGGACATAGCTAGCAAGCGCATTATAATTCTTAAAATAAGAGTGATATAATTTAAATGTATAACCAATTCTGTTACCTTTTAGTTGCTTAATATTTTATGAACATAGCGTGGTGGAGGAATAGGTCCAAAAACCCAGAAAGGAATTAACATTTTGGTACTTCGTTCTTTTTCTTTTTGTCTAGAAGTGAATGTTTTGGTTTTTTTTGGTTAGAGTCTGTGTTAAACACAAACCGAAGATATGTTCTACAATATAAAACAGGCCAGCAGATACCTCTCGCCGTTTTGTCAAAGCCCTCCATTCTCACTTAAACAGGAAGGTTAAAGGTTGGTTAAAACATGTTTGCCTTGTCTACATTATAATTTGAGATATCAAGAAAATCCACAACGACTTCACATTCATACTTTGAATTGCAAACAGTGAGAAATATTTTGACATTAGCCCAATGTCATATAATTTGTAGAAAAGCCCTCAATCTGAATTAAGAATAATTAACTGAGCAAAGTGGAAAAATGTCCACTTTCTTCTGGGTTAGGGTTCGATACGCTTAAAAAAAAACATAGAAAATAACTGTAGTTAGATATGAGTTTTGAACCGGGTCCTTCTCACAATGCACACTGTGTTTTAACTGCAAATTATAAACAGCGAGGTTTAAAATGATCAATTTTAGACTTAACAATTTCAATTTAGAAAATAAACATTTTAGCGTGGTCCTTCAAGAGATGTTTTCATCTTAAAATGTAATAAATCACACTTTTAAACAGAACGTAATTGTTGGACAATTGACAAGGGATTTGATGGGCTTTGTCTTGTTTGAAGGAGAAGTGCTGACTTCACTTTAGCCACCGGTGTTTTATACCAAAGCGGAGTAATGTCTGACCCATGGTCGCCATGGCCAGTCATTAACAGTGTGAAAAACACGTTTCTCCATGTTGTTGCCTCAGTTTAAAATGGTTTATCTTATGGCTCTTTCTGTTCCGCCACAGGCTCTAAAACTAAAATATTCCTCTCCTGACGGCAGAAGGAAAATAAGCTGATGTTCCCCTTTCAACACTTTGCACGGTATTGAAAAAGACAAAAAAAAAGACCAAAAAAAAAAAAGACAAAAATGTTGATGTATCGGGTCCATTTACAACTAACTGACCAGACGCCTCTGGGCCGCTAAACCTGCTCCGATGACCAAATGACCCGTACCAGTCAGTGGATCCCAGTGCCCTGAAGACAGATCATGGAAGCCAGGGGCCCGTCTTTCCTCTCTAGTCCTTATGAGTCTTTCTTTTGGGTTTTTCGTCGTAAGAAACTCCATACTCATTTATTCTTGTTTTATCCACTGGGTAGAGCCTGGGGGAGGGACACAGTTTGAGGTTAGAAAACGTTTGGGTGTGTTTTTTTGTTGATGAAGGAGCGTGTGTGTAAGTGAGACTGTACCATCTCTGGTAGAGGTAAATGAGAAACACAACGTCGTCCCTGAAACAGGCCAGTCTGTGTGACGTTGGCATGGTGATGATGAAGGCAAACACATCGTCGATGAAGGTATTGAATGCCTGGCAAAAAAAGAAATCAAAATAGTCAACCAATATAAATCCTTTGATAGTTTGAAAACGAAATAACTGATCTAGATTATGCGGCGACTTCAATTAAACAACTGACTTCGAAAACAAAAACGTAGAAAATGAGTTGTTATATTTGACAAAGTTCTTGTTTTATTCTAAGAATATTCTCATTAAAAACCAAATGGACAAATGGAAAAACCTACTAACTGGAGTCCTGTTCTTACCTTGTACATGAAGGCTTTCCATGGCAGGTGGGCCACAGATTTCAGCTGTTGAATTAAACATGTAAGGTCAGTGAGATCTTTGAAAGACACACACGGTAAACTAAATGAAATGCTGTGGAGCTTTCATGCAATATCAGAACAATTTCACGTTTCAGCAGCCACATTCTCCTTTACCGTCTGCAGCAGTTAACGGTTTAGACCTCTCGCAGTGCTATGAAGGTGTTTTACTGTCAATAGGGAAAGTTTATTTTTTATGTCATGGACATTTCTTTGTTGGTTTATCAGTAAAATTCCAAACAGAAGTGTAGACTTAAAATATTACATGCAACGCATGTTTTAGATGTCTTTACAATAAGTGTATTTAGTCCATTAGCACATCATACATCTTCATGAAAACAAAGACCACTCTCTCTCTCTCACACGCATTAATCAGGATAAACTGACCTTATAGTTGACAAATAATTGAGGGAGCATGAAGAGGAAGCCAAAAGCATATACACCTGAAAGCATTAAGAAAATACTCCATTAGATTATAAAAATCAATGTTACGAGTTAACCAGCTTGCAATCTAAATACTGTGAAGGAAACATTAGATGTTTTGCCGTTTCCTTAATGTTGAAGTTGTAAAAAAAAAAAAAGAAAAAAGAAAAAGCTTACCATTAACCAAACTGTTGATCAGCCACGAGTACCAACTACAACAAGGGTCAGGAGACAAAAGGAAATAACGATTGGTGAGACCGACTGTTCAAAGATTAGTAGTCAGGTTATGAAAACTGTGCACACACACACACACACACACCTCTTATATCGTAGATATATTAGCGCATACACAGCCCCTCCGATGCACATGGGGTAGAGGAGGAACGAGAGGTACTTCATGGCCTACAGGAAAGAACACAACATAAGCGTGCATACGGTCATAGCCGGTCTCTGTGGTCCAGTGACAAACGTGCACTATTTGACTTGGTTTATTATATTGAAGAGTCTATTGCGTCTTACCAGAGTATCGTACTCCTCTGTTCTCCTCTCCGATTCATCCAATTTCCCAAACTGTTCCACAGAAAAGAAAAGCTCACACTAAATAACACGACATATTAAACCAAATTAAACTTGACATTTAAAATGCCACGGCCAACATTACACTTATTTGATTTTATGATGCCTGTTAAGTGAAGCTTATGTAATTTTAATGAGGCAATAGTGGAAAGATAAACTACACACACACACACACACACACACATCTACACCCACCAGGAATGTTGGTTTTCCTCCCTTCCAGGAAACCTGAATCTTAAGGGCCTTCTTCACTTTCCACACCTTCAACAAAAACATACAGAAGATTATGCAACAATCACCCAGATGCATTCTTATAAAATAGGACAATATAAATGTTATTGATGTACGTGTCTTGTCCATTGGGTTCCGAGTGCCTGCTGTTGTGTAGTTAATATTGTGTGTGTGTGTGTGTGTGTGTGTGTGTGTGTGTGTACTTACTTCGATGATGGAGCCGACACCAGCCGGTACGAGGACGAGCAGGCTGGTGTGCTCGTCAAACAAATAGAGGAAAATCACGATGGTGCTGAAGCACCGCCATAGCACTGGGAAAGAGACCAGTAAATGTTACTTCTACTGACTGACAGCGCGGTGGAGGCTTCACGTGGATTGCACTTAGTACAGCACATGGTTTCAGTGAGTGTTTCAAAACGTTGATGAATTTACAGAGAAATGCTTAATCATATTCTATCTCTTCTCAAACAGTTACAACAAACTTATAGTTTGGAGCAAAGTCTTCCAAACGAAGTATGCCAGTATTGTGCTTTTCCGAACAACAAGGTCACCGACCTGCTTTGCTGGACATTCCCACCATGCTTTTCTTCTCCTTCCAGAAGCTGATGTCGTTCTTGAATGCCAGGAAGTCAAAGAGGAGCTGGCAAACAAAAAAACATTTGTCACTCTAAACTTTATTGTTGCCAGTTCATGATCAGTAAACCTTGATGTTGATGATTTTTGTATTTTATAATAAAAAAATGTAAAGAGAAAGGTATTAAGACCCGTATCTCATCTGATATATTACTGTATTTGGTCTTTAAATAACTGTATTGTTTAGGATTGCATGGACCTTAATTGTTTGTACTTTCATGCTGTTTTAATGCACTGGTTGGAAAGTTGAAAATCAAATATGTCTAATCAGAAAAATATTTGCATGATTTTATGTCAAATCATTGTGAAAACTTACATGGAAGGCAGCTACGAGGAAGGTCAAAGCCAGGAAGTACAGGTTGGTATCCACAAAGATTCCCTTTATCTCATCAGCATCCTTTTCTGTGAAACCTGTAACACGTACCAGGAGACAGACAATACGTGGTGTTAAGAGCGCAAGGGTGTGTGTGTGTGTGTGTATGTGTGTGTGAGAGAGTGAATTAACTTACCGAACTGTTGCAGGGAGAAAACGGCGTCTTGCATGTGGATCCAGAACCGCAGCCTCCCCAGAGAGATGGAGTCGTAGGAGATGGTCAGAGGGAGCTCCTTGGAGGTGCTGTTGATCTCCTACAAATATACCAACGCAACCATGGTCTTCAAGTTAATATGTTAAGTGACAGAGCAACATAATCTAATTGTATAGACTGAATCCATATAGCTTTTATAATGTGTTACTTTGTCCTATTACATGTTTACCATACATTTTCTTACATGTTTTTATGCACATTTCACTCAATAAAAGTGAATTACATCACGTTTATTTGAATGTATAAGCTTACCACAAGGTCCTTGACTCGGTTGCTGAGCTCGTCCACAAACAGCAGGGGTAAGTAATCAATCTTCTTACCATTTTGGAATCTTAAAAATGAAATATATAAGAATGTATTGCAAATGTCTTCAACGTCCAACACACGTCTCCGTTTCTGTATTCGCTGTCTTACACTCTGAGGTATCTGTGGACATCTCCGGGCACGTTCTCCTTGTCGAACACAAAGTGGTCTCCGACAACGTTGAGCGTCAGGCGGGTGCGCCAGTGGGCCGCTGGGTGATCCGCTGTGGAAGCGGCACCAGCTCCAGCCCCTCCTGTGGGCTTACTGCCCCGCTTCTTCTGCTGGGTTTCTTCTTTCTTCTCCTGTGTCATCACATAGACAAAAGCCATTGCACTCTTAAACAAACGTCTGAACAGTAACTAAACGCTTCTGTATCTATTGATAAATAATGGGCCTACATGTTCTAGTGTTAATAACAGTATTAAAAAACAACAATGCCTGCAAAAGCTACAAATAAGTAATGATATAATCTATTTTAACATCATACAAAAGAAAATTATTTTTCAAAATAAGTGCTGACACTAAAATAAAAAAACACACTCAATCACAAAGCAAAAGCAAGTTTTCTTTAACATGACAGCTATATAACACTGAGGCAGCGGCCTTAAGCTCCTCCCCGTACTCATTAATGTACCTGTGTTTGATCCTCTCCGGCTATCAAAGAGATTTCTGCCGGTTTCGGCACCATGTAAGTGGTGAGCTGAGCCACCAAGTGGACCCGTCGGGGATCCTGCCACGGAGTGATGCCGGCTTGATGGACGAATACCAGAGCGTATAAGGTTCCGTTGTTGCGGGTCTTCTTAGGGAGGGAGACGTTTACTATCCTGACGGAAAAAGAGAGGAAGTGCACGAAAAAGGTCAGATGCTATTTTTCGACGTGTTTTGTACCTTTTATCAGAGTGCGGCTGCAAGTGGATGCATCCGAGTGAACTGATCAGATATGAGCGCAGAGAGGCCTCAGGCTCGTTATTTTTGATCAGTTCTCCTTTACATGCAAGACACTGACCTCTCAAACTTGCTGTTGACGTCAAATGTTTCCTCTTTGTGGATCAAAGTATGTCCTCCCTCTGCATCGGGCCGCAGTGCAGTGTAGATACTCAACTGGACACACACACACACACACACACACACATTTAGCCAATATTAATACATTCATGAAGTACATGTGAGCAGCTACACTCAGACCATCACTTCTCGCGCTTCTCTGCACGTCACTGACCTGTAGTTTGGGCTCCTGTGCCAGGTAGGGTGTGAAACAGTTCTCCCCTTTGGGGCTGTCGCAGGGTTTGGTGTACACGATCCCGTACATCACCCAGCAGGTGTGGAGCACGTACACCACAAACACGCCCACTATCAGGCTGGTGAAGGACGTCTTCAGGAACATGATGCTGGTTTCGTCGTCTTGTTTTTTCGCGGCGAGTCGAGGAGCCGGGCCATATATCTGCAAATAAGCAGTCACGCATAGAGGGTTAGTGCGCCCAAAAGTAAAACAAAACAGAAAATCAATGCTGACTTTATAAGGCTGGCAGGGGCCTGTCAACTGCAAAAAAGTATGCAAACAACTGCAGTCACCAGGCGTGACTGTGGAAGACTTCCTTCTGCAATTTATATGCCACCATAATAAGTGTCTGTTATGGGACGGTTGTCTGGTGGCCGTCTGGAGTCTGGTTTAACACGTTTGCTCCCATTCTGCCTTAGTGGTGGAGCGTTGATACTGGGACGATAAGGCCTGACTCTAGTTCATTTTAATCCATCCACAATGAGTTGAATGGGGATGAGGGATGTTTTCCAGGAGGGCAAAGTTCTTCCACCAACAACAAAAAAAAGCATTGTTCCATCAATGTGGCTTTGACTCATTACTCAGTTATGTTGAAGTAGAAAACCGACTGATTTAAATGTTTCTCAAAAGGTTCGACCACATGCCTCCAATGCACTACACGGCATTTGTTCCTTGTTTTGTTCATTTCGCTATATTACAACGTACAGGCAGCGGAGTCTCTGTGGTTTCACTTGATACCACCAGAAGATTGATTTTCCCTTATTGAAATCTGACGTCCGCCCGTCACTCTTATTTACACAGCGGCCGATTAAAACGCTGAAGGCGTTTGGTCCTCTCGCGGGTCGTGATGCACAATGAGAGTGAAATGCAGACGATGACGTTTGAACGTACCGGTGTTAATCGGGCAGGCTGTCGGTGACCGGATGCTCTTCGCTGGCTATACGTCCATTCGCGTTACCGGTTCTACCGACGCGATTACGTTGGTTCATCAAAGCCGCGCAGCGTTTTTCAGCTGAAGGCAGCTGCTGTCCACTCGGTTGAACTCTCCGTTCAGGGGGGGAACCCGCGGGTGTGCTCGGATACTACTAGCTAAATAAGCGTGAGGTGGATCTAAATTTCCGCCATTCGCTTCCGGGTTTGTTTCTTGCACGGGATTTCGTGGCTGATAACGCGAGACTTGACATCGCCGAGGCACGACCAAGTTTGCAAATACTGTATATAACAAAATAGTTAGTTACTATTTATGGAATCCATGTAATCCGCTGTGGTAAATGACGAGGATGTGTACATTATTACAGGAAGATTTTAGGGGAGTTTTTCATTCTGATTATCAACCAACCACGTGTAAATGATGTAAATGTAAATGATCCGTGATTAATTCATCCAAACAATGAGGCAGGTGAGTGTTTTTCATCTTTCTATAAGTGGGTTAGTTTAAGTATTTCAAATAAGTCTTTTTTCCTCTCAGGCACACTTCCATTCGCGTGTCAGGGATCCTTAGAAAACAGACTGCCGTGACCCGGATTCGAACCGGGGTTGCTGCGGCCACAACGCAGAGTACTAACCACTATACGATCACGGCTGGCCACCGTGCCTGTGGGCTCTGCAGGCACGCTTTTAAAAACAATTGCAGGAGTCAAAGGATTCAACATTTAAGACGCATATTCTTTCCCACACAACACGGAGGAAGAGGACAATATATTTTAAAAAAAGATTTATCCCTGAAGGCCAATGGACAAAATTATTATTTTTTTATTTCACCAATCATTTTTTTTTAGCAGAAACAGTTTCCACTCCTGGTTTTATATTATTTATGGATAAGAAATGCGTTGCTCTGCCCACAGTTTTTTTGTTGTTTTGTTTTTGGTTAAATAAGACCTTCCTGAGTGAGACTGTGTCTTCTACCCAAAGGCGAAGCAAATAAATTTGGTGAATGTTGCACATTTACCCAAATAGTTGTCGGCCACTTAAACGTCTTTTTAACATCAACCTAACTGGCCCGCCACCCATGGCCTGTGTATTGTGCAATTATTATCCTGCAGAAAGGACTGAATTCTGACTAAAACCTACTTTATTAAAGTATTGTAGTATTAACATACTAAATGGCATTTTCCGCACACGTTTATGACAGCGTTAATGCTAACCTTGTCACTGCAGACTCAGGGAGGACCATAGTTCCCCGATGGTAAAATGGTATAATAAACATTTATCATATCAACATATCACTTTCGGAGACACAGCAGATACAAAACTGCAGTGATTTTTTTATTTTTATGTCTCTCCCTGAAATATTCAATGTGACATTTAATCAGTGATATTTAACCAGTCACTGTTTGTCTCTAAAAGACACTGTAACCTACTTGAATCCCTCCTGTGCTGAAGAAGGTCAAGCTCACCGGCCTCGTTGAGTTCAGTCCTGGGGCGCTGACCTCAATCTACAAGCAGTGCTTGTATCTCTCAGTGTTTTCTTATCTCACATGTATCACAGCCTCACTCCCCCCCTGCAGTTGGCCTTCGCGTTGAAGTGTCCGCTGTGTCAACACGGTCCTATAATTTGTCCAAGAGCTCCCGTAACCTCAATGACTGAGAATATATACATTAGCTGTGAGTTCAGCGCCGTCATCCTGAAAGTGCTCCGTGGGCAAATTTCCCAACTGAACACCATTTCAGTAACGGTGTGGAATGATCATGCTTCCGGTGTGTCATCTGTGACCTCATCAGTCTTTTCTTCAGTGAGGGACGCTCGCTCGATCGACTCCTCCACTTCGAGTTCACCGGTGACCCCTCACCTCTCGCTCGCTGAATGTCAGAGGTCAACACAGAGGAAAAGGGCTGCGGGAACTAGAGGCAAGAACCAAATCACAGAGAAAAAAGACACAAAACATTTTTTTGTGTGGTTGTCCTTCTAAATGACATGATCAGTTTTGAAGGAACTTATTGCGGTCATTTATTTATTGTCGCTTTGCTCTGTCCTATTTTGTCTTTGATGAAGTTGCTTTTTTTTTCATACCTCGATTCCAGATCCATGAAGATATCAAAGGACATTGCCCTAAGAGGTTTATCACAATAAATAACACAAATAACAAATAATAATCTGAAAGAGCAGCCTCCAAAAATTCTGTTTATTTCGCAGATGAGAGGAAAACAACAAGAACCAAGATAAATGTATATTTAAAAAAAATGAAAATAATGAGCTGGCCTATTGATGGGCCGAGAGCATTCATTTGGCATAATTTATTAAATATTTAAAAACAACGTGTTTCTCTTGTAAATGGCTGCTTTTCCTTTCAACACAACATCCGGCGACGCAGAGATCCAGTCATGAGATCAATACTGACAGGCAGCTGAGTTCCTGACTGTAGTTTGTTGATGATTTTGCTGGATGTGCCGTAGAGAGGGTGCTGCTGCAGTAGTACAGTGGAGAGTCGATGAAGCCTTAGAAGAATGATTTTGGAGGCCGAGGAGGAGCAGGAGGGGCGAAGATGGACAATGTTGAAAGAAGGCCCCTTTTATGATTGATATTTTCTTATGTAATGTGTACTGAATCAAGTATTATTAGGTTGCCATGTTGGTACTTTTACTGCAAACGATATAGAATATGAAGACTTCTATCACCATTCATTTATAAATGTGATAAGATGTCCATGTTTAGCACTAATCTGGGTGTTTCATAAGGGCTTTATTTTGAGGTCATAATCCACACTGAAAGGAGAGCATGAATAAGAGGTCTCTCTGCATTACAGTCAAACCTGCCTATGTAATGAAATACTGTGAGCCTTTGGGCGGAGCAGCACATTGAGAGCAGTCCAGAAAAGAGAAATGCAAAGAAAAAAAAATGCATGACTTTAGATATATGAGCAGGAGAAGGGCAGAACTTTCCCCTGATGTATTCCACACCCGTTCACTTGTCAGATGTGATTAAAAGGCTTCAGCCTATCCCATACCAGTGATCTACTTGTTCCCTTCCCTCAGGAAACCCCGGTCACATACATTAGCTAAATTGCTGAATTTGGTCCGGCGTGAGCCGGCGAGCAGGAGAAGATCCTCGGGCGAGTTCTTCTTCCCTTCGTCGCAGCGGGAGACTGAAGGTGACCGAACCTTTTGCTCCCAGGGCCTCTCAGCTCTGAAACGCCCTGCTGGGAAACATTGCGCTGGCAGGTTCAGGGTCTTTTGAATCACTTCTCTTCCTTAATTTTATTCAAAAAATCATTCTCTGTATGCCACTTTTCTCTATTATGCTGATCTATGTTCTTTGATTTCCATTTTTCGCGACTTTGCACTTCTACTCCACTCGAGTTCAGTAAGTAAGTCAATGTTAAAACTTTTTGATGTAAACATTTGTTTGACAGCTCTAGTTTTCAGATTAAGATTTTAGACACATGTTAACATAGAGAAATATTTAACTATTTCCTTATGCATTAGTAACCACCATCCAATTATAGAACACATGATGATATAACTTTGACTGAGTACTCTTTAAAACCAGAGTTCAATTAATGGTTATTTTATTTCATTATTTTTTGAAAATAAAAAATCGATTTTTTTTTTTATTTTATGTTGTGTCTTTGTGTAGTTTGAAGCATTTGATATATTTTTACCTCGGTGGCGGTAGAGTTAAACATTTCACCGCTCAGTGGCGCAACAGCTCCATCCCCCCCCCCAAAAAAACAGACCGATTCCATTCTTTCGTTAACCGTTCGCCGGCTGCAATGTGCTCTCTCTTTCTCAGTGTCCCTCCTGTCTGTCTGTCCGTCTGTCTGTCTGTCTCTGTCCTTCCTCGATCCATAATCACTGCTCCGCGGGTCTCCATCAGCATCCATCACTCTTTATGGAGTATCGCAGTCAGGGGTGGAGAGGAGAGAAATCGAGAGGGAGAGAAAAAGACTTCAGGGGCAGAGAGAAGGCTACTCAGCACTCTGTTACCAAATGACCTCCCTGATAGAAACTACGTGTCCACACATTGTCAAAGCGATCAAAGTTTTAACCCAGAACTCGTTGCTCTCCAGACGGGACAATCCGGCTCCCCAATTGAAGACACTGTATTTTGTAAGTTTGGTTCCAGACTGAGAGGTACAAACACTGTAGGACTATAAAAATGGGTAAAATCCCCGAACCGGGACTGCAGGTGACTCCATTCAGCATGTTGACGGCCGCTATCATTTGACAAACTAAAACCGCATCATATATTGGTTTTAAATTCAAATGATGAATGAAACAAAATGAATAAATGCAGGTTATCATAAAGCCCACGTCCAAAGTAAATTGGCTCATTGAATAAATTATGCAAAACAAAAACCAAACTACGTAAATGACTTTTTTGTCCTTATCTTACAACACAGAGATGATGAGGCAATGGAAGAATCCAATTAAATGACAAAAATCAAATTGCTTGCTCAAGTGCTTAAGTATATATTATAAATACTTTAATGAATCTAATATCAACAACTAAAAAAGTATTCATTTTGATTGTCTTGTCTATTTTGGGGACGGCTTCATACAGCGGCCAAGTTTGAACTTGGCACAGATCACACAATTTTAGAAAATACCAAGAAATTCACAACATATGATCACAACACAAAATTGGTGCCATGGCTCTAACAAAACACACCCGGGAGTGTCAATATTGCAGGTTTCATGCCCCACATGGCAGCTGGAAGGTTATGAGTACTCAACTACAAAGACCCTGTACTTGACTGCTGCTGCACTTAGATTAAAGCTTAGGTGGTGGAGAAATGGTTAGTTCCAGCAGCTAAAGAGCCCCAAGCCTGTGGATGAAAGGGTATGATTCTTCTCTTTTCTATCAGTCCTGAAACTAACAGCCAACATGGTGCACTGTGTGTGTTTTTTGTCTTTATTATATAGACAGTGGTCAACAGGGGGAAGACCTGACGCTCCAGGCTTTATCTGTCTAGATATTTGTGTCATTTGTCACGAATGCACCAAAATAAAGTCCACCCCTTCCTTCTAAAATATGGGGCTGCATTTTTGAATGATAACTTTAAGGGGAAATGATGCTTTGACCCAGCGCCTCATCATCCTGTTCAGTATTTGGGGAGGTGAACGGAGACTTCCCACAAGACACAGACAGTCCTGCAAAGTGCACGGGCGCAGTAAAGAATCTCTCTGTGATGCGTAGTGTAGAGATGAAGGCTGAAAATCATTGGAATG